GCTAGTAAGAATAATTTTGAGGGGAATTCAAAAGGTTAAAGTCTAAAGATCCAACCCAATAGCAGTAGAGTTAGATGGTACTTGTGAGGATGTGACTTTGGACCCAAGGCGTGAGGCTCCCCATCGCCAGGGCGCTGCTGGAAGGTGTCGGTGCGAAATGCCTCACTGCCTAAGTCGAGAAAGGGCGGGGGACGGCCTGGAATCTTCGGCGTTCACGCTGTGGTTTGGGTTTGTCTCAAAATTAGGTTCCCCCTAAATGAGTGGTTGCCTGTTGGTTTCCTTTTCAAGCCAACCCAAACATGTACCCTCAAAAACGACATGCCGGTTTGGATTGGTGGGCTGAGGGGGTGGTTGCCAACTTGGTTTCTCCTCAGCTTAACTTACAGGGAATCTGAATTGTTCGGTTTCCGTAGTCAAACAGAGGGGGCACCCTGAGAACCGATAAAGCAAACAAAAACATGAATCGACAAAAAGGATTCACCTGCGGGCCAGGAACACTTATGCATACTGTATATAAACTATATTGATGATTACTCAAATCCATTGGGCGTGCATTCCCAAGAAATATTCGGATTCTCTTGTGAATCGGAACCCCCCACTACAAACTCAACCCGGGACCTCGAATTGCCCCGGGAACATGGGCGGTTTTCTTGAAGTTTCGGGAAGCCCTCTCCGATTTCCAAAGTAGCAAAACCGAACCAGCGCCAAGGACCACCACCAGAAGGACCCTCACCCCTGCCGTCGGCCAAACCGGTGCTTGAATACACTCAAACGCCCTGTGGCCAGTGGAAAAAGTACGGTATCCCTTTTGTTGGTTGCTTGAGCTTAAAGTGGATTATTCTCCAGGATGTAATGGGAATGGATCCTTGTTATCGGCATTTGTTCTGATTTCTTCTTCTCCATATCTGAGTTTTACTTGACCGAAATCTTCATAAACTAATTCTCCTTGTTTTATTTCTGACGACCCAAAAAGAAAAACGAAAAGGGGCGCCACCGGCCACCTGGCAACTTTCACCAGTGCTACTACTAGAACTACTAATACTGCAAGTAGTATTAATTAACACCAGCCCAAAGGACCTGGAAAATAGAAGCTTCACCCTTTGGGACTACTAAAGACAGACCAAAAGGGAAAACCAAAAGGTCAGATCCGGTCGATTCGCTTTGAACAATTAAGAACATGGACTAAAAAAAAACCTGCAGGTTTTTTGGTGGATACCCATTTGGGGGTGTCTAACTAAAAAACGGGACCCCAAAAAATCGGGTTGCCCTGGCAAATGGGTATGGGTCAAAATGAAACCACCAGGGGACCGCAGGCTTTAGTCGTCCATGTTTCCTTTCCCAGGGCAACCCGACCTATTTTTGACCCACAGCCAACTGGAAAGCCAAGGAGTAAACTGAAACCTGTCTAACTAAAAAACGGAAACCCCCAAACATGGGTTGCCCTTAAACTGAACCCTGCGGTCCCCGCTTCACCAACCGAGGCCCAAAACCCCCCGCTGGGACTCGCCCGAGGGGCCGGCCAAGTAGATGCCCCGCCAGCAGGCCATGGACAGGGGCCACACGGTCCAGCGGCGGTACCAGGGGATGGCGGTGCGCAGCAGCGTGGTCTTCCCCGACTGGGTGGGGCCCTGGGGACAAAGGCCGAACAAAGGAGGGCGAACAAAAGAGAGAGAGAGAGGGAGAGAACGAAACACCACAAAACAAAACAAAAAAAGGGAAAAAAAGAAAGCAAGAAAGAAAGAAAGAAAGAAAGGAACAAAAACAAACGAAAAGAGACACAGAGAGAGAAAAAGAGAGCGACTGGGTGTGTGAGGTACTTTCAGACCAAATTTAATCAGTCACGATTGTACAGGTGAACCTTGCGAACTATTCTATTTAGCCCCTTATTATATTGCCCAAGCAACTTGGTCCAGGATTCACCCAACATACTTCCCTGATGAACATGAAACCCCAAACACTGTCATTGATGGAGGAGGCTTCTTTCAGAAATCCTGCCCTTTAAAGGCTGCTAGGGGCTGGTTGACGAATAGATTATATATATATATATGTGTGTAGGTGTATAATTGAATAAGTTTCAAAATAGGGAGTGCCACCCAAATGGTGGATACCTGTATCTAAACGGCACCACGGTCCGTGTGTTTAAACAAATTTTCCCGACCCGGCCTGAAGGATGACGATCCTAGCGCCGGCGACGGGAGCAACGGAGCAAAAGCAAAGGAGCACAACAACTCCGGAACGTCACCAACAAATCAGAACAGCATGAAAGCCAGATATGTACATATTATATATGTATATCTCAAAACCCGCATGGAAGAACGTACATATACACATCGCAGAAAAAAAGAGAAAGAAAACAACGCTGTGTTGCTGACGAAAGCACAGCATGTCCGTGAAAGTTGTTCTCAGGAAATGCATCCAACAACTCCACCCAAACCCAAACAAAAACATGTCTGTAGGCTGGTGCGCAGTGGGCCTGGCCTAAAAGAAACTCGCCAAGCAACCAAGGAAAAGGCCAACTTTTTGTATGCGTCCCTGGCTCCCTAGTTTCTTAGCACGCAGCCTGCGTTGTCTATTGGTGATGACTTCTGGGCCGAGCAAGCAAAGAGTAGCAATCCAAATAATGCTTGGTCAAGCTGGTGTGCACTCTCCATCCCTCTCTTTCTCTCTCTCTGTGTCTTGTCTCTTTCCTCTATCTAGATATTGCATTAGTTTTGTTATGCAAAAAACATAACATACATATGATGGCGAAACCTACAGGACTTGCCTCATCTGAATATGGCTGATGCAAGCGATCATGACCCTGGATGGGATGGATGCTCTTTAAGCACCGTGAATCAAGCTGGCAAACCCAAAGGTAAAGCACTGAGTTGTGCTTTCCTCGCAATTTGGGGACAACCTGCTTTATTGCAACACCACACACAAAAACAACGTATCGCGGCTGTCCAAAACCCTTCGACCATGGATTGGTTCCGGTTCCGCCGGGCCGCTTGTTGTTGCGCAGGGGCTTGTACGGATCCGTCCGGAACCTGCACTGGGACTAGAGGCGCGTACGTTCCACCCAATCAAAGTGGGGTTCACATGGATTCAAGGAAGCTACCCACAGTTGCCCCAGTTGCCTTGACTACAATCCAATCATCTTACAGTGTTCACCATCCGAGTGGACCGGACATGTAAAACATGGGCGCGCCTTGTTTTAGAGGTCCGAAAACAATGACTGCTTTCCTTTTGCCTTCCCTTTGCACCAAAAAACAGAACCGCCCTCCCCCCCACATACCCGTAAATATCAATTCCGACCCACGAACCATGGAAGCCGGGCTCATAGATTTTTGTCTCCAGAAGGTGCTGAATGGGTCATGACAGGACTCTAAGATGGGAAGCTGCCTGGCACAGGAGTGGAGCCAAATACGGGGTGCGGAAACAAACGGCCATATTAGGTTGCAAGTGGAAAATGGAAGTTCAAACCAATTTTGGACCCCTAAGTCATTCCCCCCAACACAAAAGGCCTTCAACTCTGGTCCATACTACGCAGCCGACTACGCTTTCCAATGCATGTCAGAAGTGATCCCAGCAATTAGTCTGCCAGGGGATCCCCAAGTAGGAAGCTTGGACTTCGCAGGTGAACGTGAAACCCCAGAAACCACGTGCATCGCTTTGTGGGTGTCATGTGAATCCCCAGAAACGCCGCCCCATCAGCTCATGTACTCCGAGAACTCCGCTTCGAATTCCCAAACCACGAGTCCAAGCCACCTAAGGGATATCCTCATGAGCTTCTTGTATGCCACTTACATGGTCTTCCCAACCAAAACCCGAAAAAAAAGTCCGTAAACTCAGGAAGTGTCCAGGCCACCAGACCAGACCACAAAGGGCAATCTGCAAAAGGGGTATCCTCAAAAAACAACCCCTAGAAGGATGATTTCCCTGTGAATGCCAACAAACAATGGTTTTTCATTGTTCCAAAGTGGTGCAAGATGTCGTCCATCCACAGTATGTTCACGGAACAAACACACCCACACACCCATCTGCAAGGGCTTCAAGGTTGCTGTCGCCTGATGCGCTGATGCATCCAGCGTACCGGCCCGCCCTCCGTGCGCAGGCGGTTGAACAAGGGCTCCACGGGCCGTGCTTGCGGATACCTCACAGGCGAACTCATGTTTCTAAATGTGTGTGGCTCAAAATGTTCAGCGGTTCCGTTCACCAAGGTGCAATTTGTGTACACCTTTTTCTGTGTCGCAGCCAAAGTTGAGTCAAAAATGAACCACCAAAAAAGGCGTGTTCGGGGGTCTGTTTGAGGAGTCCTTGAAAAAGCTCGATGAGCTTGGTTGCGAAAGCGGATGTGGGGTCAACGCCAATTTGCCGGTGGGGAACCCAACAAACAAAAGGGAAGAGTGGCGTGCAACGAACCATGTTGGCCCACCCTAAGCCACAACATGAGTTTGAAGGAAGCGAAGACATGTCCACGGTTCAGAAAATTACTTTGAGGGCAGCTTTTTTTTCAACCAAAACTTTCGAGGCTCTGTTCAACAAAAATGCAAGGCCTCTCACTTCTCCCCCAGGAAAGGTTCTCAGAACCTTCTCATCAAAGGGTTCCGATGAAAGCCTTCTCATCGAACCTTTCTTTGGGGTAGGGCCCCAAGGGCTCAAAAAGCAGATCCGGATTGTTTCTCTGACGTATAAAAAACAACAACCATGCAGAGTCACGATCTTCCCTTGGCTCCCTTTGCTATGGGCTTCTCCAAGCAGAAGTTTCCCTTTCAATACCAACCAAAAGGGGGGTCCACAGAGTTTTGAGAAACTCCCATTTCTGAATCAGCATTCTCAAGAAGCCTCAACCCCCCCCCTTTACCCCCCCCCTGCTTTGGGCCAAATAGGTGGGAAGCTTCCCGAAAGCCTTGCGGAAGCTTCCGGAAGCCTTAGGGAAGCTTCGGGATCAAGGGGGGGGAGATTGGGGATGAAACAAGGGTGGTCCCCCCCCCCCCCCCTTTTTCCCGAAGCTTCCCCAAGGCTTCCGGAAGCTTCCCCAAGGCTTCCGGAAGCTTCCGCAAGGCTTCCGGAAGCCTTGCAGAAGACTTACGGACTTCTGAAGCTTCGGGGGAGCGGACGGGAAGGGCGGGAGACGGGGAAGGAAGGGGTGCGAGGGGGACGAGCATGAGCGTAGTGGTGGGTGTCATTTTCCAGGCTTGTCGCGCCGCCAGTCAGTGGGGAACCCTTTGGGAGCCAAATACTTTAACAGTGTTATAACACCCCAATAGCGGTGCTATAGCATGTCTCAAGGGGGGGGGATAAGGGAGGGGGGGGTTTATGCTTTCTTAACATTTGCAATTTGTCCGGCGCTCCAAGCGTCCGTTTTTCAAGTCAGAGGCGCAGTGCCCGCTTGGCCGCCCCGGTGACGGTCACTGCGCCCACGATGGCGCACACCGTCTGGATGAAGCCGAAGGAAGTGTCGAGGCCGTACTTGAAGGCCGTATCCAGGCCTAGCCCCACAAAGAAGAAGCACTTCCACTGCCCAGTGACCCTGGAAACGTGCGTTCTTTTTTAAGTGAGCATCCACCAAACAAAAAGACTTAGGTTGCACTGGAAACCCCAAACCACCCCGGCAGTGTTGCTGTATTTTGGTGCGTGCCATGTTTGTGGACAGGCGTAAAAATGGCAAATGGGCAACTTTCTGCAATCCCCAAGGGTAGAACAGAAAGTGGCAATCCAAACACAATTGTCCACACCCAGCAACAATACCCAAGGGGGCATGCTTCATCACAAATATTTCGCTCCAATATCAACAAAGCACACACAATTAAAATATCGGCCGTTAGACTCATGCACACCACCTCATAAACGAAGTTTAAATTAATCACATTTGGAGCAACAGATACAGTATCTCCCGTCGAATCATCGTGAAGAAGGTGCATAAAAGTTCCTGTCTGGGAGGTCCGGCACGGGGCCTGCGCAAAAAAAACACTGCGTCTCCAGAAACATCAACAAACTTCAGAGGCGCTTCCCAGGGCACCTTTCGGAGGACGTTCCAAACCAAGTTGCCCTCCACATGTCTGCATTGGTTACAAACCATCGACTGGAAACAAGAATTGGATCCCCAAATAACCTTCATGTGTGAAATCGCTGGTACCCCTGGATCATTGGAATCGCTCTTTACAAAAAGAAATATTGGCAGCAGCCAAACGTCTGGCGACCGATCCATATATAGGAAGCATCAGCGTCGTTCCCCTCTCCATACAAACCCCCGATCGGAGACTAGAAAGCAGAAAGGTCATGGGCGTCATTTTTGTTTGGGAGCCCCCCAAACTGGTGGTTTTCCTTTTGTTTCCCCTTAAATCCACCAAAAGGGGCCCCCCCAACAAGGACTGACCCACATGGCAACCGGCTTATGCCCCACAGGGTGCCACTCATGGCCGCCTTTTGCAGTTTTGGAAACATCCCCAACACACAGGCTGTGGGTTTGCGGGGTCGCTCAGGGGCAGAAACATGGGTCGCCAAGGAACTCAAGGAAACCAAACTCCTGCTTCTTCTCCAGCGGTTTGGTCATCTTTTGACTGGAGTCACCCTGGCCAAGGAATCCAGATAATACAACTGGATGATATTGCGGAAAGTCTGCAATGATCTCCAACCGGGCAAAACCAACTGGGGAAAACAACTGTTTACTTGGTCTCATGTTGAATTCTTGGGCAAAACGCGCCGAGCCTCTGCCTGTCATGATCTAGGTGAAACATGCATTGCGGAGCCGAGCCATAGGGGTTGGCCAAAAACGTCGACCTCCGTCGCATCTTGCGAGGAGCTGTTCCCCAGTAAGAAGGACAGCGGGGAGGAGTCATCGCCTTGGCGCTGACAAGGTGCATCAGTCGCAATATTTTCCCTAGTGAAGGGTCCCCCTGAAAATGAAACGTGCTGCTTCCCAAAGCGTCTTAAATAAGCCTTGTGGATTTGTAGCGCTGCATCTCCCGGCCCAAAGAGTCTCCGAAATTGGACACCGCCTGATAAGAAAACGCGTTCCTATCGCATCCTGCATCCTTGCGTTTCACCTGTATGCCCGGGAAACACAGCTCGCCAATTCGCGATTCGTCATGGCTCTGCCATCTTTGCCCTCATAGCCACTTGGATGTTCAACTCACCAAGTAAGTTGTAACCATGGTTGCAAGGAAACTAGTCCCGGTTACCCGAGTTGCAACCAGGTCTTGCGAATCAATCCACGTTCTAAGTGGGTTGACTCTCCAAATCAATTCCCCCATATCTCCGTGCCGCGATTTCCCAGCAGGGCCCGAAATGCATTGCCCGGAGGGAGCTCACTGGCTTTGACAAAAAAGAACGCGGAACATCTATTTGGAAACCAGACCCAGGTTTGCAGTGGGGGGACAAACGGTTGTACCTGATTCTGCCAAGCAAACGGCACGGAGGGGAAACGCGGTTTCCCTGCCAGGACGTTACCTTCTGCAAACCAAAGAATTCCAGGCCTCTGCGAATCCAAGGAGCGTTATGCCATCCCACCTTCATTTGATCCCACGGGCGTTGGGCCTGTGCGGGCTCAATGGCTAGACGAACCTTTGGGCGTTTTTTTGCAGCTGAAGATCTCAGCTGCGTCCACGCCCGAGAGATCCAGGACTCATTGGCCGGAGGTTCAGCCATGGCCCATGCGAATACCGCTCGCGCGGACCCCTTGTGACGCCCGGTGACCCTGGCGAGACAAGGAGCCCTTGCAAGTTTCGGTCGGTCCTTTTGCCCCCTGCAACACCTTGTCCCTTCAGTGTGCTTTAGCAAGTTGCAAGTGAGAAGCAAAGCGAACCTTTTGCAAGCTCCCAACCTTTTTGGAAGGGGCAAACTCATGTTGAACACCACTTGCGTGGCCGGACACACCTGTCCCGCCATAAGGGTGTGTCTCACAATGGGCGACCCCTCCGAATGGTTGGTGTTCTTGCGTTTTTTGGTGAAGTCCTTTTTATACTTCCACCCCATTCTTTGCTCTGCAGTCCGGCTTAGCCGGATGCAGTTGCAGCGGGCTGCGAGCCAGCGGCTCTCGCGGCACAAGGGCTCCGTATTTGGGTGTGTCTTTGCTTCAAGTTGCCGTTTGTATCAAGGGAAACCAAACGGAAAGCACTGCCCCGTTTAGAAAGGTTCCCTATTTTTTGAAACAGACCTATTCCCCCATCATCCCACCAACTTTTTACAACTAGGATTCCTCAGTCAGCCACGTGCGTGACCTGGTTTCCAACCTAAGCCTTGCAACAGCGCGCCGTGATTGCCAGGAGCCGGGCTCGCCTTTCTGCTCGCCTGCTCTCTTCACCCCATACGCCCCGGTGGGCAAAACCTGCAAACGCCAGCGAACGCCTCGTGGCACTCTGCCTCAAAGTCAGTCAGGCTGACACGAATCTATTCAAACACCCCGAACACGTTCATCCAGACTGCTTCAATCAGGCCGCTTGAACAACCACACCGCTTCTATTTCTGTCATCAATCAGACCGCTTGAGGCCGCTTCTCCCCTTCTTTGTGTGAGACCTCAACGCCGGCTCCCGGGCCCTGTGGCCCTTCCTTCCGGTCTGCGCGGCACATCGATGGCGCATGTTTTGGCGCTACGATGGAGGCTCAGCATCACGAACAACACGCAAAGCAACCTACCCAAATAAAAGACACAAACCAAACCAAACCAGTCCAAAATCAAAGTGGGCAAGTGAAACATTTCCTTCAAAAGCCCCTTTGTTCTGTTGGCTTGTGACCAAAAAGCCCCCAAAAGGAGCCTCAAGCCGCAGACCTGGAGTGCCATTTGGGCCCCACATGCGATGAACTAAACTGGTCATGTCCAAACCCAACACACGTCAAACATGTTTCAAAAAAACTACGTTTGGAAAACGGCATCGTTTTCAGACCCCCCCCCAACAAGGTGAACATGTTTCATGCTTTCATAAAAAAAGATACATACTAAAAACTGGTTGGTACAAAAATCTTTGACCCAAAGCGGCAGTCCAGGCACTTTGGGCTCAGTAGGGGGCGGGCCGAGTACTCTTGGCCTTCTTCACCAAGATCACGCCCGCACCTGGCGAGCCAGTCATCCCCTACAATCCCACGGGGTGGGTTTTTCCCGACAACATGCTGAAAAACAGCGTCTAGACTTCGTGCTTGCCACTAAAATGGTCTCCCAGAAAAGTGAAAAGTCCAGGAACTCGGGAAGTGAGGAAACCAGCTGAAGGGAATCGTAATTACACACTTTCCAAACTCCCAAAACCAGGGGTTTCGTGTAGGAATTTCCTGTAGCTGGTTTCAAAAACCCATTTGTAGGAGAACACACAGGTTCCCCAAAAGTTCCAGGTTAAACGTCCACCCCCTTTGCAAACATGAGGAACTGATTTCTTTAGCTTCCACGAAAAGAGGAAGCCGTTGTCTTTTTTCCCATTGAGAGATGTCACAAATGGGTGGAATCTCTGTCACAAATGGGTGGAATCTCTCAGCCGTGAGTTAAGCCTCGAAGAGCGACGGTATGCCCTGCCCAAAGGATCTGGAAATGCTAAGGGTAGAATGCCAAAATGGGCCACCCCTATCACTACGTCGTCACTTTGACGCAGGTTACCTTAAGAAAGGTCCCCAGGAAGTAGCCTAAAACCTGATTACAACAAACACATCCTCTGAATTATTAATCCTAAATCAGCTGATGAAGGTGGTTTTTTCAGTGGCCCAAATGTGTCCTGTACGGTAATACACCTGTTGTTGATTCTCGGTGGGGAACCCACCAAAGAAAGGGTGGAACGCATCGAGCAAATGGGTGGATTAACTGTGCATACCTCGGGCTTCTGCATCCAGGCCTGGCTTGATTTCATACTTCTCGTGCAGTGTCTGAACTGCAGTGTCTGCCTGGCCCAGCTATGCAATGGGCGAATTGCAAAAATCACGTTTGTTCATACCACTCTGGTCCCTGAGAAAACAAAAACAACAAACTAAACCACTTTGTGCTTGCACACAGTTGTACAGGAGGTTCCTCTTGCGGCAGGGCTGCATCTCGCGCCAGCCCATTCCAAAAGTCGCTCTGAAAGAGAAAACGTGCAGCCGGCGAGCACTCAATGACTCAACCGCTGATACTCTCAATCAACTTCCGTTTTGGAGCATCCTAGGGTCACGATAAACGCTAAAGCAAGCTTACCAGAACACCCGAAACTTCCCAAGGCCTGTCATGGAGAAAAGCAGTGTGCAGAACTAGAATCGCCCCTTTCGTCGTTGCAAGGAGTTTGTGGGGACGACCTGTTCACCAAGGGGCCGTTCCCCTGCCCCGCCCGGGCAAGCTGCAACCAGCCTGATCTGGCGTCTCGTATTCTACGAAGGCGCAGTGTTGGCCGCTCTTGGACTTGCCGGACATGATGAAGGTCTGTCCACCAACATGGATTCAGCGGGGAACAGGGGTGTTGCAACACCACCATAGGACAAACTCTGTGCTTGTTTTCAATGAAGGAAATTGCAACAACTACCAAACATGCACACTCGTCGGATAGCTTCAATAGGAAGATTGCATTTTTGAACAAGAACAAGAAAGCTCGTTGGATGATTTCAATAGGAAGTAAATGCAAACCACACCATGGTAAGAGGTGCTCCGTATTCTAGGATATCCCGACTCTGTGCGCAAGCTGAGGGCTTGCGAAAGAAGGCATTAAAGCTATCAGGTTTTGACAGGTGAACACTTTAATGATACCAACTGGTTCTACCTCCTCCCAAGATGGATGAGATGGTGTCCTGTTGATTTGTCTTTCAATCTACCTCGAACATGACATTCTCCGAAAACCAAAAAAACACCCAAATGAGGTCTGGTAAATGGCCAAGTCACACCCTTCAAATCCAGGCTAAATCAGGTTTCCGGGTCAGTGCTTGTGATACACACTCCTGCTGGTTTCAATACTCCCTTTTGCGCCAGGCGTGTGGGGCCAGCATCCAAACACAAGAGGTGGCCTCGGACGGGTTGTGCTTCCCTGACCAGTTGTTTGACCTCCCTTTTTGCGCATGAGCCAAACAGACAGGCTTGGGGTCGAAGAAACATATCCCATTCGCACTTGAGACATGGTACGGGAAGCCGACAGGAAATAAAACAGTCCAATTGATTTGTCCAACCCTTTCCAACAATGCAAGTGGAAATGTTGTTCTTGAAGTCAACCGTCTTCTGAAGAAAGACCTTGTCCACTTCCGCGACTCTTGGGCCAATGTTGCTTCAAGTGGAAACCACTTCGCGAAGCACTGCCTTCGTCACGGTGCCGTAGGCTTTAAAGACCTCAGGGAATAACAACCAGCGACCAAAAATCTAGTCGTACATCCTCCCACCATTTAACATAACCTGACAGGGGGGGTCCCTTTAAAACCCCGAACGTCAGGTTCCATGCTATTTGGTGGGAGGGTCGTTGGAAGGCTGTTTGGGGTTGAGCCCGCTGTTGACCCCAAACCCCAAACCAAAGTGATTTTAATGATGGCCCTGAAAAAGTCGCGGGTGTTGCTTTAAAAATGGACCCCCCCCGGATGGCTGCTTGATGCTCATTGCCAAGGTCCCTTAGCCAAGCAAAATCTCACCCCGCCCCCCGCCCCCCCGCCCCTACAAATGACTATGATAATGTCTTTACTGTCAGCTTTAAGTTCTGCGTAAAACGCAGAAGCAGGGATCCTTCTGCTGGCTGACTTCTTAACGGGTTTCGTGCTGGCTTGCAGAGCAATCTGCACAAGTCACTTGGTCACAGATGTTGTTGTCTTTCGCTGTGGAAATTGCTTGGGTCTTTCTATCCGTTTGTCATCTCCTGTGGGTGAGGTTGCCCCCCTGCAACTTCACATCTACAAACAATGGTTGTTTGGATTCCATGCTACGTACTCAATTTGCAATATAGTATGTCAAAGCAATACTAAGCCAAAACTAAGGTGGCACAAAGCAATACTACACCAATGCTCAACCAGTACTTAACTTGGGGGATGCCAATCAAACCCTCAAACAGAAGATGTTCTAGCGATGTTGTCCATTGGCTCCCCCTAAATTGTTTGGGGGGGGGCTTATTTATTCAGTCCCCCACAACTCAACCCTCTTTCCAACAAATAGACACAAGGCCTTTTCGGGGTGATGGCAATCTGCCCAAAAACCGAGCAAGAGGGCATGCAAGGAAAAGCGCTCCTTCAGAATATGGTTGCGTAAGAGCCAAAACCCTATAAGGCACAAGGCACACTAGGGTCTACAAGGGACCTTCCTGGTGGACTGCCACCATTGCGCTTCCTGACTACTGTTGGAACTACCTACCACTTTGAGTTCACAGGTTCACACCCGCGTGTCCAAAGCCACTTCCCAGTTTCCGGCTTTCCCTGCATCCACAAAGCTAAGCAAATGGGAAAGGCTCCTGTGGGTCCCCCTTTCCCAGACTCAATCGCAAGGGTTCATGACCGGTTTCACGGATTCTCCAGCAACGTTCGAGGAACTTCCCGGGCCCAAATTGGTGGCCCTGCTAGCCCCTTAGAAAGGGGATGCACCCATTCTCAAGAGACAAATGGGTCAAGTGATACTCCAAAAAGTACGGACCCTTTTCTTAGTGTTGCGAGGACAGGCACAGATTCGCAGGGCGAGGGGCGTACTGCAGCGCATCCTCCGAGATGTCGGGGGGCAGGTTGCCCACGAAGAGCCGGGTGCCAGCTGCGACAGGTTGGAGGGGAGGGTTCAAACCCCATTCAAAGAATGGCAAGCACCCAATTTGGATGAAACTTCTTGGGTAAATAATGGTGGTTATATTGACCCCCTTTGTTTTAACTATGGTTTGAACCCTAGGGACGCATCCGGGCAACAGTTGGGCCTTTCTCGAAGGGGACGGTTCCCCCAAAATTGTGTTTTGTTTTTGCCTTTGCGATTGAAAGGATACCGCCCAAAAAGGGCCCAGCATTTTGAGAACCCCCCTCCTTTGTTTAAACAGCCACGCCTTGACCCACCTGTGACTGACCTTCAAACTAAAAGTTGCTTGAACAACAGAGGGTTAACATGCTGAAGCAGGGGGTGGGCCCAAGCCTGGTTGCGACTGCGATTGTCAAACGTTCACGGAGGTTTCAAATGTTCCTGACACCTTTTGACCATCCTCTTATGGATTGATTCGCCTTCGGAAAGTTCTATGACCTGGCCGCTTAGGCAGTCCGAACTTCTACGGCCCTAGCTTGGAAACACATACAGCTCTTAGAGGCTGGTGGCAAAGTGTCCGATGCAATCGGACTTAAAGCGACCCCCGCCAAAGATGACGCCTAATGTGGAGCCCAGATTGAACAACTGGTGCTTCCCGAAGTCAAATATCTTCCTCAAATGGGACACTCCCCAATCCACATGTGCCGTTCGTCTGGGCCAACATTGTGACAGCGAGCCACAAACCCTTGCTTGATCAATTTATACGGTTGCGTCCCATTTCAGAGGGTATCCTTTACTGCTGGAGGAACCCCTCCCCCTCCTGTGGACGGACGAACTCCTGCACCACTTTGAAACCATGGTTGAAATCATTGCTTGTTGGTACTTGGAGAATCGAACCACCAGAAACTCCAGGTTTTCTGACCAGTGGGGGCGATTTCTGGTTGTCGCAACCCATCCCCAGTATAATAAGAGGGTATATCTTGCACTGGGGGAAACACTCCTTCCCCTGTGAATCCACAGGGTTGATCCATCAATCGGCGACATCGACGTGCCTGGCCCACCGCCGCCCTTCTCCCAATCGCCCCCGCCGCCCTGGCAAGAACTGGCAATGGGGAAAACAGACTTCCGTTGTGTTGCTGCTGGGTTTTTGAGGTTGAAACGCTTCCCCAAAAATAAGCACAAAGGGCACCACTGCCGGGGAAACAAGTCGGACTTGGTTGTGAACTCTTGCTAGCTTGATGGAGGCACGCAACGAGACATCTCTCTTGCCATGGCAGATGTTTTGGCCACGAACTATCTAAGATGTTGCTCTGGTAAACGCTGCATGCCCTACATCTTGCAAGTATATATTGCAAGTGCTTTCTTGGGCTCCGATGTTCGAAATGGATGTGGAGCTTCTTGGGCGGTACTCTGCATCAGTTTCATTTGACTGGCTCCCCTTGATGGTACCCGCTTTGGGGTTGGCTTAAAGAGAAATTGAGGGAAACCACAGATTCGGGGGTGTGTATTTTGACCTCTCACCATCCTACATGCCCAACAGACTTGCGCATCCCCCTCTTGACTCATGGGTTTTTCCTGCCTATCTGTATCCACGGATTTACCTACCTGCCTGCCTATCGATCCATCTATCTAATCAACAAATCTAACCTATTCTAGTCCAACGTAGTCTATACATCTATTTCAATCTAATCTAATTCATCTATCCGTACATCTATGTGCACCTCTACCTATATCCATCTATGTTGTCAATCAATCAATCTAGTCTTATCTAATCTAATCTAAGCTTTTGTAATAACATAGTCTGTTCCAATATTTTCCTATCGATCTATCTCCATCTCGCTGCATTGCGATATCTCTATCTTTCTGTCAATCTACCTATCTCTGTATCTATCTATGTCTCTCTCCCTCTCATCTATCGATATATTAGTATCATCTATCTATCTGTCTATCTATCCATCCATCTATCTATCTATATCGATCTATACATCTGTCTATATCTATATCTCTATCTGTCTCGATCTGTATCTACATTTCTTTCTATCTATCTATCTATCTATCTATCTATTTATCTATCTATCTATATATCTACCTACCTACCTACCTACCTACCTACCTATCTATCTATCTATCTATCTATCTATCTATCTATCTGCCATCTATCTATATAATCCATATGTATATGTATATGTTTATCTATTTGCTCACCTAATCTGATCTAATCTGACCTGATCTATCCATCCACCTGTCTATCTAATCTAAGCTGTCCATCTATGTATCTTATCGTCTACTTTGTCTACCTATTCAAACTAGTCTATTGTATCTATCTCTCATCTATCTACCTGTCCACCTCCTCCTATCTATAATATACATATCTACATTCGGTTCCAGTGAAGCAGCACACATAGGGTGAACTGCACCAACCTGAGAAGAAACTGATCCCCCAATAAAATAAAACTTCACCTCCACCACTGAACTGCTTGGAAAAAAACCATCAACCCAGCTGCAAAGCCACATGCAAGCTTTCATGGGCAAGCGGATTCACGAGCCTTGCCTTGCCGCAGCCACCGTAGCCGCCACCACCGTAGCCACCGCCATAGCCGCCGCAACCGCAGCCACCGCCGCAGCCACCGCCACAGCCGCCACAGCCACCGCCACAGCCACCACAACCGTAGCCTCCACATCCGCAGCCACCACAACCACAGCCACCACAACCACCGCCGTAGCCACAGCCGCCGCAGCCGCCGCAACCACCTCCTCCGCAGCCGCAGCCACCATAGCCGCCACAGCCGCCGCAGCCGCCGCAGCCGCCACAGCCGCCGCAGCCGCAGCCGCCGCCCCCATACCCGCAGCCGTCACATCCACCGCAGCCACCGAAGCAGCCGCCGTTGCCCTGCGGCTCACTGGGGAGCAGGGTGTCACATTGATCCAGGCTTCTGAAATTATGTTGTTTCCGTACTTGGATTCTCCCCCCTCAGCACGCAGTCTGAATACATGGGTGCCTTATCCCAGGCTAACTGTACTACCTTGCACCAACTGACCCAGGGCCTGCCTGTTGACCCTTGACAAACAAACCGCCTCAAGTATATGTTCCTCAGATTCAGGGCTGAGCCGAGGCAACCCTACCCTGTGCTGACGTGCTGACCGGATTCAACTTGAGTGTTCAAGCCACAAAGCCAGCAAGTTTCCACCGCAACCACGCTTACCCGGTCATAGCCATTGTTTGCAACAAGTTGAACATTCACAAAGGTCCCGCAATTCCCCCTCCCCGCACCCATTGACATGGAACCTGCAGGCTTGCCAAAAGGCCGTCTTGATCATTTTGGGTTGTGCGGTTTGGGTGGGTTTGGGATCGGTTTAATAGTTGAGGGCCCATATTTGCTTTCTAGGCCTTGCGTGTCAGGATGAATTGGCCGGAGCTGGCTTGGCTTGTGCTTGGCCGGCGCTCGACACCATGGCGAGCCTTGCCATTCCAACCTGCGCCTGCGCCTTTGCCTGGCAGCGAGGAAGTACTCTGAAAATCACAAATGCGTGTCCGTGTGTGTGTACGCGCTAGAGCTTGGAACTTTCCTAAAGGTCAAGCACAAGTTGAAACAAACCCAACTCGAATCCACGAGGCGCTCCCTTGCCCGAAGGTGAGCTGGGCCATGGTCAAACATCTGCGGTTCCAGCAATGGACATGGCCAGCAGCTACGGAATCCCCTAGCCCCTAGTCGTCCTGCGGGAATTTTGTGAGTTTGTTTTTTTTGCATGGGTCCAAGTGCATCTTGTTACCCCCGAAAACCCGTCCCAGAAGGTACTTGGATCCCCACCTCTCATTTGGGGCAAGGAACTCGAGAATGGGACCTTTGGTTCCTCTTGGTCTTAGCCCCAGGCGGTCGCAATCCCGGGAGAAAAGCGGAGCCGTGTTTTGGTTGATTTTGGGTTGAGCACGTTTAGTGGGGAAGCCACCAAGCAAAAGGGAACAAGGTTGCCACTGAACAACTGGGTGCAGGCAAATGCTTTGGGGGCCGTGGCTTACAAATGTTTCAGTATCGATCTGGACAATAAAAATGCTTGCCTTCTGACCCCCTTGACCTCGCCAAGAGAGTTTCTGCCCTTTGGGGTGGCTCCCATCATCTTCCCACACAAGTCGACAAATCAAAAACATGCTTCACATCCTGCCTTCTGAGGTTGAAGAAGGGGGTCTTGAAATGCTAGTGTCATTTGCCTCACCCTTGAAGGGGGGCCGTACCTTGCCCTGCTCTGGTTGGAAATCATTCCGGAAAGATGGGCCAAGCACTACAGGTATGTATCTCAACCAAACTGCCCCCTCCAAGTGCTTCTGACAAGAACTCAAATGCTGCATGCCTGAGCCTGTCAGCAAGCCTCAGCCTTTTGGCAAACAAGGCGGAGCATCCTTTGGCTGATCTGGCCCAGTTCACCTGCGCGAGCCACCGCGACAATCCCAGGGCAGGATTCTGCATGGTTTCCCAAACATCGCCCAACCCCAACAGGGATGCCTAAAATGATCTGCAACTCAAACGCTTCTGGAACGAAGCTACTGGGTCAAGTTGTTGGAGGCAAGAGCATTGCAAACATCGCTTTGACACCAACGCAACCTGTCAGCAAATGGATGCCCAGCCAAAATTATTGATGGGAACCGGACTGCAAGGGCAATCAATCTGGACTGAATGTGTCAAACAAAGGCTTTTGCCTGTTGCAGCTTGTCCGAAGCGAGCCGGCAATTGACATCTGCAGTGACACCCAAGCAACTAGTAAGAACACATGTTGGCCATGCGCCATATCTCCCTGCGACTTGATTACCGGCCTCCTCAGCATTCCTTGAACCAACAAGCACCGCCTTGTCGCCAATATTTGCCCAGCATGGCATGATTGTTAACATGCTAGTAGTAGACGTTAGCCATCTCTCTCTCCTCTCTCTCTCTCTCTGTCTCCGTTGGCTCTCTCCTCTTGCGTGGCCACCCAAATAAAGAGGGAATTCCCTTATATCACAGAAGTTGAGGGTTAACCCACTTGATCCCACAACCCTGGTGAAATCTCTTCCAGAATTCACCCAGGTCCCTACGCCCAGGAGTCCAACTGCTAGTGCCTTGTCGGATCTATCAGGACTCCCGTAAGACATAGTCATAACATCTTTATCATGATGGGGAGCTGTGGCAAAACGTTTGGTCAAGCCCTGTGAGCGTGTCATTTGGTGTTCAAAGTTTAACAAATTGCCCTTGTTCCCACCAAGCACCCAAAACAGCAAACAAGTGATACAATATATATATATATATATATACAGATTGTGGAAATACGTGCACGAAATTATAGAACAGATCAACATGACCCAACCACTGTTGGAGTGATGCAATGGCAATGTCAGCCATACGAGCTGCTGAGACACCCAGGCTACCCTGAAACGCAGAAACGACTCTCCATTCACTTTCTCAACTCCTTCAGCTTGCGTTGACCATATTTTGTGCTACCCTCCTAACAATAGACATTAAAGTGGTCAGTTGCCCACTGCTCAAGAGCGCTCAGCGGTCTTCTTAAAAGGGGCTGCTCTGAGTGTGCCATGTTCAACCTGCCCATGGCCCTCCAAGGCGCCTGAATCGCATTCGGGGCTTCCTCACGGATCCTTGGAGCTTCGACGAGGCTAGGGGCGAGAAGGCAACGTGGCGGGGTGGAAACATAATAAATTTGATGTCTGCCTGCATTGCTGCACGCGTGGATGAGCGAATCAACTAAGTGGTGAACTGGACCTGTCACTTTGAAACAAGCAACATTTGCTCAGGAGTGCCCTGCCGTTGTCTGCGCACGTAGCCCTCACAGGTCCGCCAAAGGCCAGGAAAACGGAGCTCGAACTCCGTGCCAGTTGCGTGGCTGCGTTTTCCTCATGTGTTGGCCGGACTTTTTGTTCTTTTGTTCCCAGGTACAAACTCAACAAACAAAAGCCAAAACCGGCAGATCAATGGTTGAGAACGCCAAGTCCCCTCCACCAACAGCCAACACTCCTTTCCCAGGAAACGAGCACACCTCCGCAGTCACCAAGCGCCAGGCTTGTAGACCTTGGCCCAGCGAGTGTTGCTGAGAACATCCCGCTACTCACTTGAAAGCTGATTCTCTAGCGGTAGCTTCCCCATTATTTCCATGCACAACGGTTGAAAAGAATGGGGAACCAACCCCTAGAGATTCCCTTGCCGCACTGATCGGATGAAACAAATCATGTGTTGCCACGGGTGTGCCGGTTGTGTTTGATGTTTCTGAACGGTATGTTTGCTGGTTGCAACCGTAACACGGCAATACACCGGCGTTGTTTCGAACATCGACTCCAAACAATGGCAAATTGGTCTTGAGACCCACAATCCACTCTGGTGATCCCACCACTGTCTTTGCTGTCGACTGGCTAGACAAGGGCGTATAAACCCCTTGTAGGATATCAACCCTCCGGACTTGTAGAAGGTAAGTGTGCAAGTGCGGTCCTGGATGCGCCATCCGTCACGGTCGTGCCCATCTACTTATGCTGACTTATGACCGGAAACGTATGTGATGGAGCCCACCCCGCAGCCTGCAACGTATGCAGGAAAAAGCGAAAGGAAGAAGCCCCTTATCAGAAACCGATGACGAGACTTAGTGCGCTGGAACAGGGTGAGCCTGGCAATTGGCAACACTTTGTGACAACACAATGAGCGGTGCTTTAATCAAGAAAATAATCACCAATTAGGTTGGTTTACTTTTGGATAAGCCACGCTAAGAAACAACTCAGTCCGTCGGATTGCTACAGCAGCTGCCCTACTGAGCTGCTGGCTCCATTCAAAACCTGAGCGGCAATGGCCCTTCAGGCCAAACCCCCCATTGCGCAGCCAGCCACGCAAAATTGAACTTGAGCACTAACCAATCAAGAAAGGGTTCATTGGCCAGGAGGCAAAATTCATAGGAAACGCACTGCAAGACCCCCCGGCCCAAGGTCGCCATCAAGGTGGTCCATTCAAGCCGAAGGCAAGCCATCTTGGCGCCGGCCGGCGCCGATGTTTGCTTACAAGGCTGAGGAACATGAGTTTAGGCAGGTTCCAGCCAGGTTCAAAGGCAAGTGCAGGGCTGAACGTGAAGCAAGGGGGCGAATATATCTCATATTAACTTGTCCTAAACCTTTCTTTTCCCATACCCCGCGCGGGTTGGGGATTGCCGCGCAGGAGTCATGAGTGCAACTGGCCGGGTTCTCCAGGAGACCCCCGGCGCTCCCCGCCGCCCGGGCTGCCGGGCCTGGATCGCCGTCTCCGCGCCTTCTCTGCCTCCATAGGTCACGAAAGCCTCGGGCGCCGCGAAGCCCCGGAGCCCCGCGGGCGCGAACCGAGGGCCACCTGGACACAACTCAAATCTCGCCCCAGAAATGGCGCTGGCTCCAAGGAAAAGCCTTGCAGGGAAGGGGGGGGGTTTCTCCTTAAGCAAGCAGCAACAAGCGATTGGAGTGTGCGCGTTTTTGAGGGGGGCTTTTTTAAAGGTACTCTGGCAGGTTGCTGCCCGGAAAGTGGGTACCTGTACCTAGCAAAGGCGCTAAGGGGCTTGAGGCCACCCAGGCGGAACCCGCCCATGAATTGCCAACTCCAAATGGTGGACATATGGGGTGTGCGCCTGTTAACGGTCGAGGGATTTGCTTTTGGGCAAGTAAGTGGATAGCTGGGTGCCAAAGAGCAGGTCTGACAAAGTTCCAGCAATTCTCCATCCCTTTCGGCTTTAAGGGGAACCAAACAAAACACATGTGCCACTTAGTGTAAATACCCGGTCAGCTCGGCCCTTTGTCGCCATTCGCATTCTACTCACTGAGCGTGCGGCACAAGCCTGCCCAGTAGCAGATCTGTTTCCTGCGAACCGGCTGCGCATATTGGCCGTGAGCAGGTTGGGCAAATATTGCACGAAACCAAACCTACACTCCGGCCTGGGGAAGAACGGGGTTCAGGTTTCAAAGGTCTTGGTAGCTAGTTGCTTTCATAGGCAAACTCGGTCCAAAGCAAACGATAAATCGCCCCTCTGAAGGGTCGGGCAACGTTTTTGCAGCCAGGCCACTGTCGCCAGCGATCACGTGCACATCTGTCACATCGCCATAGGTCTTGAAGACAATCTCTATCTCCTGCATCTGCCGGTCACGTTTCGAGCCTTGCTGGAGGCTTGAAGCAAACCATAGCAACGGAGGCTAAATCATTGACAAATAGCCATTGTAAAGATTTCATGAAAGAGATGTGATGCACAAACTGAACAGCGTGACAGTGCTCTGCCAGCCTTTCATTTGAGCCCAGTTCGTGATTCCCACCCTAGGATCTGAAATCCAAATATAGCGAGCGTTGCGTCAATCCAAGATCGAAAGCGGACCTCTTTGGTGATGTCTGGCGGCAGGGAGCCGACAAATAATTTGTTCTCCTTGGCGCGAGGAGCGGGGAACAAACTTAACTTGCAGCCTTCGGTGCTGAGTAGGGGGTCGGCCAACAACATACAATATCCATCCCCTTGTGGTTTAAAGTGAAGTCTTTAGAGTTCTCTCTGGTACGCCCTGCCTGGGTGGGCAACCCACCTAGTGGTTTACGGCCCTGGCTAAAAGTGGGATAACAGAAGTAACCCAGTTAAAAGTCGAGCAGAACATAGCACCACACTTAATCAGTCCAATTGGCAACCAAGGAGGCATCGATCAGCTGAAAAGGGATAATTACATTGTTTCATCGCGGGCCTGTTGGTGGACAGCATTTACGTGACATGGGGATGTATGGCCACCAACCTTTCCGAGACTGTTTTTCCAAAACAAAACCAGAACATAATGAGCCAAATAGGCAGATGATCAACGATTAGAGCCCTCGCTTGGGCGTCAGCCTGCCAGTGCGCTGTACCACCAGGGAGCTTTGTTTAACCCCGAATCACTCAGTGTCCTCTTTCAGATGCGGCACCCTCGATCCAAATCCACCCGAAATTCATCCGGAATTCGCAGTTGGCTTCCGATGCAGCGAGGGGCCTGTGCCCAAGCCTTGTGGCTTCCCCGGCTTGAAGCCAAAGGCTTGCTAGTACTGTGGATGGACGAAATCCTCTTAGGCACCACCTAAGAAACCCTGGAATGGTATGATCCCCTGTAAATACCAACAAACAATGGTTGTCTTGGGTGGTGCAGGATTTTGTCCATCCACACTAGGGATACCGTCCTTTTCTCAAGCAAAAGGCTGAGGTCAAACCCAAAGAGCGACACTTGTCAACTTGTGTTGCGGTTAACCCTTTGACTAAACCAAACCCAAAGGCTAAGGTCACGTCATTCACTTGTCTCGCGCTTCTCCGCGCTACAGGGACCCACTCGACCGGAGAAAACCAAAACCAAAACCGGCCAAGCGGCTCCCATGGCCGGGGAATCCTCTAACTAACCTGGGCGCAGTGCAAGGCCATGGGAGCATCCGGGATGGGATTCCGGGATCTGAATCACTGAAGCATCCCCACCCGTAAGCAATAAAATATGAGTAGTAGCGAACAGCCAAATCTGGAATTCCGGGGAACTTCGGGAGTGTTGCCTATTGTTCTGGATTTTTCGCAGTTTTTGCAATTTATTCACAGCCCACCAAACATAGAAATAAACAGACTTTGGAGGAGACCCCAATGATTGGAAATGAGGGTCACTGGCTATACATGTTACCCAAAAAACCCACTAAGGGAACCATGGAAGTTGTAAAAAAGATCCCTTAAGGGATCTGGAACCCAATGCCTGTACAATAGGGGGTTGTGCAACAACCACATGGGGAAAACGACATGGCGTCCTTCTTCCCTACTTCCAACCACATCGGGAAAATGGCATGGTGCGTTCCGCAGGGAGGGCTGTCTTCTATGGGAAGCACCCTCAACAAAGAAATGAGAGAAGCTGAGATTCCCAGTGGCCATGGGAAAAACATCCTGATCCTTCTTTGGTTCGTTGGGTTTAAAGGGGACATAGGAAAGAAAGGCCACTTTATTTCGTAGTTGACTTTCAGGGACAATTCCCTCCAAAAACGGGAGCAAAAGAGCACCACTAGGAGGCTGGGTTGCCGAAACTCATGTGGACGTGTCCAAAATTTGTGTAGTTGAGCTCTGATTGTTTAATCTGAAATGACATTGCTAGCTGCTCGGCCAGCATTTTTTGCTGGTCAAACGCAGTTGTTGAGCCCCAGCCAAGGGCAAAACCAACACACTGGACCCCGGAGCCCTCACTGAAAGCATGGGCAAAAACAAGGGCACCTTTTCGGGGCTGCTTGATTTGGCCCAACGAAAATGGGACGACGGTAAGGTGGTGCCACGAAATAACATTGACAGGGCCATTTCTGCAAGGCCAAAGTGTGATTCCTCAAAATGGTACCATGGTAGAAACAAGAACGTTTCTTGGTATCCGGTCACCTTCGACCTTCGAAGCTGGCCGAGAAGCTTCTTCAAGGTGTTTAACACCACCTGTTTACAATTTTTCTCCGATCAGTTCCCCTGGCTTACTTAAGCCACCTGTTTTCCTCCTTCAGTTCCATTCAGTTTCAGGGGCCATGACTTGGATGCAGTTTGACCGGGAGTGCGGATTTCTCGCACTCGGTGACCCCCAGTAAGCCCAGCCGCGAGTCTTCAGGTCGGCCCCGGCCCCGGCCCAGGCTAGCATTGAGCCACGTGCGCAGAAGCCCAAGAAGCGGGTGGTTTGCTCCTGGGAAACCACCTCAAGAGGTTGCTTCATAGGGATTTGGCCGTGGCTCCAAAAAATGTGCCAAATTGGAACCTTGGCAAATGGAACCAAAGACTAAAACCTGCGTAACCCCAGTCTTTGATTAAACAGTCAGGGAGCCCCATTGATGTTCCCCAAAGGTCCCCAAACACATGTTTCCCCTCGTCAATTAGAATATCCACAGGAAGACTAAAATTCGGTTTTGGTGGTGGGATGTTGAAAGGGGGCCCGAGGAGCAGGTGAGCGATCAGATGCTTGCCTAACCGGAAACTGCAAGGATATTGTTAAAACCACAGAGGTAAAAACGTGTGTAAACAGGGGTGTGCACAACCGTGCAAGCAGTATCCTGCTAGACACGCCAAGACCCATTGTCTTGCTGGACAGATTTGGAAGTACTGCAAGGGCCTTAACAAGTAAAATGGGGTTGTGGGGTACCAAGCTTAGGAGTGACAGGGTTTCCTATATGTTGGCCCCAAGGTGATGTCTAAATTCAACTGAAATCTAGGGTACCCCAAGCAAACTAAATAAAACTTGTCTCACCTGGGCTTTTGCATTTAATTGGATTGAGATAGGCGACCCCCCAAAGAATGGCTGGGTGGTTTCCTTTTGGCTTCCCTTTGTAGCCACTGCAAAATGGGGGAACTATCCTCAACAAAAAGCAAAAGACGCATGTTAGTCAGAACCGTCAAAGGGCTTAGTTTCGCGAAGTCTCAGCCGTCCAAAACGCAGCCCCACCCAAAGAAAACTCGGTTCAGTGGGGCATAGACAGCCCTGGAGAAACTAAGCAGCAAACAAAGTAACATCTATCAGCACTCAACCAGAAGCCAAGAAGCAGGGCAAGGCCATGCGACTGGGGCAAGGTATCCTCAAACCTTCCCAGCCCCAAAGCCTCCCCTCTTCCCTTCTCAGTCTCTGCTTCTGCCCAGTGGCCCTGGAACAGGATTCGAGCCCTTGGAGGTCACATCTTTAGCGGTTTCTGAACCCAACAGCCAAAAGGGAGAAAGGGCGGAACATCACTGAACACGGCCCAACAAAACTGGCCTCGTCTGCCGCATGTCAGACAAAGGCGCCCACAAACCAACAGTTGCGAACAGACTGTCGATGGATCCTGCACCTAAGAAACCCTGGAATGATGATTCCCCTGTGAATACCAACGTAGAATAGTTTCCCATAGGACCAAAAGTGGCGCAGGATTTGTCCATCCACAGTAGAGATTCCTCACGCTGCAAACTGGTGGCCATGCCCCCTCAAAACTACACCCGATCCGCCCCAACCCAACCCCGGAGAGTTGGCAACATCCCTCACCCAGGTTTTCCTAACTCCTGTTACGGGTGAAACGTCCGACCACGGCTTGCTTTGCGCTCAGTACGGCGATACCCTGCGCCCATCGTTGGCCCAGTCCACGTAAATGGGCTGGTCCCCTGCGACAGCTGCGAGTTGCCAGCGAACTCAGAAGTGCGGTTGTTGAGACTTCGTCAAAGGGCATATTGAACAAGCGCCGCGATTGAACACTGCGTTTCATGACGTCCATAACATCCGTCTCAAAACGGTTCCTACTTTGACTGGGGTCCTGATATTCATGAAGCGTTCCTTTGCCGGGAGGAGCGGCAGATTCTGGGGCCAAATGTCTAACAAGTGCTAATGAAACATTCGGCTTGGTGATGCTAGTGCTGTGGGCGTTTCCTTAACTTGGGGACGCACATGGCCGGAAGTTGGCAAGTGCCCCTCTACATCAGCTGCCCAGTGACCCGATGGTAGGCAAAGGGAACCAACTTGGGGCTGCTTCAATGATCAGCAGCCAGGAAACAAGGCGAAACCGGATTCCACTGAGCAACTGAGTGCGAGTTAGATCAAGGGGTCAACACCTTGGAGACTTAGTTCCCAGTCCTCACGAAGCGGCTGAGCTTCCCGTTCCCCGGGCACCGCCTCTTCTGAGACAGTAGCGTTGGTGCAGCGTTTGCAGTGCCACATCTGCCTCGCAGGATGGGGCTGCCGTTGCCCTAAGATAACAAATTACCCAGCCAGTGACAAGCATCCTTTGAAACACACACACGGCTCTGGCAAACTAAGTGCAATGCGTTGTCCAAAGTGAAAGGGACGTATACACAACTGCTTGCTTTCGGTGAAAAGGATCCACCGTCAGTGTCGAATGCCGTAAAGCCTGCGGCCTAAGGCCAAGGCATCTTCCAGGTTGCGGTACTCAACCTGAGGCCCACCAGAAAAGGCCGGCCGTCCAAATGAGGTACCCCGAAATGTTTGCTTTCCTTCCGGTTTAGACGGCAAGGTGTCTTGAAGGCAGGGCCTTCCTCTGGAAGTTCTGTCAACGCTGTGGGATTTGAAGTGGCTTCGCCTGCGCCTGGGTCTTTGGCTCAGGAGTAGCCGTGTTCAATCCCCGGCACTGGCATGTTTATGTTTCATCAACTCCTGCAAGGGGCGGATGGAGCAGGAGTGGGAGGTCCGCGGGCCCAATCAACGTACAAATTGGCATGTCATGGGCTTGAGCAGCTGGGCAAAACACGGCAGCATCACCATCTGCAAAGCTGTGCTAGATGCCGCGATAGCACATGCTGGATTGAAGATTCAAGGTTACACATTCTCAGGACAATTACGTTTGCTAACATGCTGCGCCAGCACCAACTACTCCAGGGAGGGTTGCTTCGGTGCAATCAGCCTCAAACCGTTTTTCGCACTACCTGAGTCCCCATGACAAAGGCTGCAAGACAAACCCCAGTGGCCATAGGGAAGCGGGGCAGCCACTTTTGTTGGTGACTTGAAAGAGACCCCCGGAGGCCTGGGACAACCCAGGACACATCGGGAGGCCTGGAATACGGAACTCTGCCACGAGCTGGGGTTCCGGCATAGGCACAGCTCCTGTAGTTCTTGGACCGGCCGTGGATCAGATGGACCTTGCGCAGCCATCGGCCCGGAAGGTCGGGGCCCGGGGATCGAAGGACAGCAAAAGAACCAATCCGCAGATCAAGCTGGAACCCCCAAAAACCATGAAGTCTAGAGGAATCTCCTGTTAGGAGATCCACTTGTTCAGTTGTCCATGTTGATTTGCTGAGGCAAACAAGCAGGGTTTGGCTCACAAACCCACTGCCCAACGGGAATGCGGCCTTCCAAAAAAGGTCTGACCATTTCCATGTTTGGTGGAAGACGTCCACACCGTGCTTCTGGCAACTCCTGCTTTTGCACCGGGGATGAGGAGCCTTCCGGCACCTCAGCTTTGGTCCCCCAAAAAGGGTTTTCATGTTCGATCCTGGACCTCTTCCATGAACCATAGAATGTAGCAAGCTCTCAAACCAGATCCTAACTGCTGCGATATTTTGCCAAGTGTTGCGAAGGTGTCCAGTCCTGAAAGACAAAGCCAAGTTTGTGACTTGCATGGTCAAAACTTCTCGTAGGGCTTATGGTCATGGCTCCCAGGGTAAAAATGCTCGCAATGGTGAGCTTGATACTCATTCCTATCAGCCTCACACAAATGCGGAAGTCCACAGACCCCGTTTGGAAGACTATGTAACTTTCGGACTGAAATCCCGTGCGCTTCCAATGTCAAGCCAAAGTTGGCAAATATAAGCGACAGTCGGCATATGTTAGCCCCGTCCCTCCGCCAGACCTTGTCCACCAGGCCGTACTTGGCAAACACCTCGGGGCGGAGCGTCAAGGCAAAGAGGGTCACAAACAATGTAACTTTCTGCTTCTCAGCAGCGAGGGAGCACATCCCGAACTGAACCGTCGAACCATTTGTGGTTTCTTTTCAGGTTCATTCCCAAAACTGCTGACTCCTTCCCGAGCCAGGGCAATGGAGCATCCATTTGGCACAACGGGGTCACATGCTGACCACTGGCCACAAGGCTCTGATTTGGGGTGTTCGTTGCTTGATGCTTTTGAAGGAGGCTATACTCCCTTCCCCCTGAGAATAAGCGCACCCTCATTATTCGCCCCAGACACCAAATCTCCCAATTCTGAATTGGAACTAGCCAACACTAAGCCAATTCCAAACCCCAACTCATACTAGCGCTAGACCAAACCAATGTCAAACCAATTCAAAAGCAGCACAAATTCAACTCTGCTGTTCGATTTCCTTGCTTGGAAATTGTGATGTTCAACAATATTTGCACCTGCAAGCCTGCAAAGGGGGTGACCCCACTTGGACGAGGACCATACCCCCCTGGGCAGAATTGCACCCCATGAATCAATATCGTGTGGGCCCCAGGAGTTTTTGATTCATTGCTGGGGGCAGCGGACTAACTAAATGAGCACCAACGTGTTGTAGGACTCGAGTTTTCTAAGAACACCCCATCTGACGCTTCGCTCTTTTGCCATCTGCTGCAACCCGGCAGACTGCAAGGCTTCCAAAGAGCCCAGAGATGGTAAGTCGCATCCAGCGAGAATGCCGTGCGTGAGCGCGTTGCCTTGCAAGCCGCTGCTTTCTAAGGCGGAAAGCAGGACCAAGACTTGGTCCCACTGCAAGTTTCCAGCGCAAGCTGCCAAGGCGGAGTTGAAGGACAGGATGTCCCGCTCAAGCCTAAGGGGGCAACTTGCCAACCTATGTGGGGGTTGATCAAAAGGTGAATTACGTGGGATGACCATTGGGGAAAACCACTCAAAGTATGATATGTCTCACTAAATGGGAAAAGTTGCCCATGGTCATTTGGGAGCCAGGAATGTTGATCAACCCCCTCGTGGTGAAACCACCGTTGCTTCAAGAGGTGTAATTTCGTCGCCCCTTATTGGTCCTTTTGGTTCCATAGGAGTCTTTTTGGCAAAATCGATGGGTGAAATTACAATCTCACCATGCAACCAGTGCCATCAATCTTCACCTGTCAGGTTGTTTCATGCCCCCTCGGCCTGGCGGGGCTGAAGGACTGAAGCAATACCAAGGCTTCAGCCCAACGTCCAGATTTCTCACACGCGTGGAGCGCCGCGTTGAGAGTGACTTGGTTCTGCTGAATGTTGCGCTTCTTCATCAGCAGCATTAAGTGAAGTGCATGCTCCCAACCGCATGCAGCAATTACAGGGCCTTACTTGCAACCAAAGGACCTGGACATCAAAAGAAAAGGTAAGCCTTTGCGCTGCCAGGATCTGATCTGAAAAGTGGAGCCGCTGAGCTTGCCACGACAACAAGCACAAATTTGAACGTGGAAGCCACAAGGACAAATCAAAAGGTCGGTGGATTGGGTACTGAGGCGCTGTAAGCCATCTCATCGACCCCATCGCCTAGCGCAGCCAACAGATTCAGCGCCTCTTGCCATTGCTTGGCACTGGCACAAGCCGTGATCGCCGCGGTGTACGGGACCAAGGCCAACTCAAACTTCAGGCTGCCCATGTCCTTCAGGGGTGCTTGCTCTCTGAGTAACATACTTATTGGCCGAAAAAGTCGAGACTTGGTGCTGACCACAAAGCTGGTTGCCCCAAAAGTAGTATAAAGCCCAGGAACTTAGGGAGTGGGGGGGCTCCTCTGATGAGTCTGGTCGACTGGTGAACAGCCTTCTTGCATGTTCAGCTCTGGGCGGCTAAGTAGCTTGTAACCCAGAGTCCCGTAGTTGCCATAGTTCTAATACGAAGGAACTAGCCCCACATCGTCCCGCTTGCAACCATAGTTGCAACGTACTGACCAAGTGGACTGAGACGTCCCCTCATTCCCAGAGTCCGTCCTTGATCAAAGACAGGGCGCGGCACCAATTCAGTTCCCTTCCGCAAATGCTGATCAAGTTGCTGTATACATAGGTGTTCGCTTGCAGTCGCCTCTGGAAAACTTCGCGAAGCGTGTCGCAAGCCGACTTCCACAGCGCCGCCTGTCCATGGTTCGGGAAAACAACCCTGTCTGTGGTACCGAAGGTGCTTGATATCCATGACTGCTCACTCATTTTAAACCGATTCCTCAAAAGAAATTGATTTAGCCCAGTACATTTGTTTAAAATCATATTTTAAACCATTCATTTTTCACTGTCACAACAGGACTTTGGCACTGAAAGCGAATTTCGCACCGCCACGGGCCTGTCCATATGCATTGATGGCGGTGCTGGCCAGAACAGCGTCGCTTTGGAGTTCCAGCTGCTCCATCCGCTCGAAAAGGCCGATGGAACCCTGCCACTTGGAACTTACCTGGGTTGCCCAAGGACCCAATTGCGCGCTCGTGGATTGGGCCCCTACCTGTTCTTTCCCCCGTATGGCATTTCTTGATGCCCAAGAAAAACAGAGGGGGCATTCTGCGCTCCTGGATTCCACCTGTTGCTAGCAAGGTGGACCACCATGTTGGCCATGACCACTCCCTGCTTAACATGCTGAAACTAATCGCCTGTTGGGCTCCCTTTCAAAGGAAGCAGTGTCTGGCCTTGTGAACAACAGGTGCCCAACCCCACAACACACCGACTGGAACACTGAAAAAAAGCTGAGTGGGGCGTCCCTGCGCAAAATCAAACGAACAAACTAACAAACAATCAACCAATCAAACAAACAGAACCTTTGACAAGGTTCCGAAAGGATCTACTTGGACAAAACCCCTCAGTACGTGTTTACCATGGCTTTACGTGGGGTAGCTGGGGGTCCACAAAAGACCTGCCTGAACAAAGGTGCCTAGCAATCAAGGGCTGGATCTAGGGGTGCCTTTAATTTTTGAGGCTACCACTTTGTTTGGGGTGGTTTAAAGGTTAAAACCAAGCAGGAGAACCACAATTTTGGGGGGTTTGAGGACTTTGGGGCTTCCCATGAGACTTCCACAAAGATCCCCCGTCCGCCCCTGGGTTGCTTTCCAAGATTCCCATTTCATGTCTTTCCCGACCAAAACCCCCCCCAAAAAAAAGGATCCCTAGAAAGAATGGGGAGGAGCGCAAGTAGTACGACTCATATGACCCAATTGCATCGGGCCACGGCCGAGCACCAAAACACCACGTCGCCTTGCACCGCCATGCGTGCGGCTACGTCCAGCAAACCAAGCGACAGCGACCATTCGCTGGCCTGGGCACCGGCTGCAACCAAGAACCCTTGTATTTTAGCTATATATGTTACTAAAAAGCAAGTGTCCATTTTTTGGGGGGAACTCGCCAATCAAAAAGGGAACGACTGGGGATAACACAAGATATTTCAACTTGTGGCTTCTTAAACTGAACTACGCCACATCTTTCCCTTTTTGCTTGTTGATTGCCAAATATATCCCCCTGGTGTTTTCCTTCCTAGGTTTTAAATGGAGTTGGTCAATGCCACCTACCAATGGACTGTCGAAGTCCAAACAAAGATTGCCTTTCACCCCAGCCTTCAACATGCGGGAATCCTGCGAAGCCAGGGGCTCACATTCTGCCACACTATGTGTCCATGCGCTTTCCGTCAGGGCAAAGCAACAAACAACGAGGCGCCCCATGACTCCCGACCTGTGCTCGGTCCAACGTGAAAAACAAAGGTTCAAAATCATCGTTTCCTCAATGCATCCCCTTACGTTACTCATGCTTTGAAGGCTCATTAGTTGAGGGCGGGGGATGAAAAGCCCGAGCAATCGTGGTTGACCTTCTTGACCTTCATGGTTTGAACCGCACAATTGCAGTGGCCATGGACAAAAAAGGCGCGCCCTTGTTGATGATAAAGAGTTGATTGAAAAGGAAACCCTATCCAAAATAGAGAGGACGCAACCTATTGCATGGATGGTCAGGTCAAACTACTTAAGCAGGTCATCACCATGGTTGTTCCATCATATCAAGCGGCCCCTTCTGCGAACACCGAGCCTTTTTTGCAGCCCATGTTCACCTCTGACTAAAAAAGGATACATGTTCCATGGACAACACCGTTTCTTTTGTGAAACACGTAGCATGCGCCGATGCTTTCAACCTGCTTTGTAGCCTCGCAAGTCGAGAGCCATGCGAGGGGCAAGGCCATATGCGGTGGCGCAAGAGCTGTAGGTCACCACGTCGTGTCCGCCGCTCAGAGCGGCAGCGGCTTGCCATTGGCCTGGCTTAGACATCTCTCCTCTCGACACCCAACTAGAGCCGAGGCAAGGGGTGCATACAAGGTGTCTCCGCCAAAAAGAAAAGGGGATGGGGTCGTAAGGTTCAATTCTAGCCTTAGGCTGCTCCAGAGGAAGCCCTCACTGGCTGAGTGGATGGCCCAAAAAAAGGTCCAAACTTTATATTTACCACTAAAATGGTGGGATCCTCGCACCCCGCCTTTCAGCGCCCGGACGGCCGCGCTCCTCGCCGCGCCGTCCGCCGCCGATGCGTTCGCCGCTCGGAGCAGCTCCAGGGCCCAGCGCCAGGCGGAGCTGCGCTCACAGGCGGTCAAGGCGAGGCCTACGGCGGCCATTTTGGGACCAAAAGGCCACAGGGAACCATGTGGTAGCCATGTAAGAAAACAAAATAAGATAAACAAAGCAAATAATAGGACAAAAACACACAAATTGCCAGAGGTAATTGTGATATCCATGGAATTCTACACAGGGAGTTTGGCAAGAAAACAAAAGGCCACAGGTAACTATGCTATCCCTGGAACTTTGAAAGGGGGTCTGGCAAAAAGGAGCTGATTGGAATGATGCTGGCTTGGGCTCTACGTCAATCTGAAGGGGGATAGTATGGGGTAGTGACCCCCTGACTGTGCTCAAACTCTCTTGCCCAAAGCCTTTTACGGCTCCAAAAGTCAGGCGCTCAACGCCGGGGTGCTGAAAGTCACCATGCTCGGCTGGGAGGTCCTGCGCATACGCTGAAAATCGCAGGCGTCGAGGGAAGAGAGCCACATGATTCTTTAAATGGGGCAGCCTTTGAGTATCCAAAAGGTGGTTTTCCCGATTGAATCGAAGTCAGCTGATAACCCCCACCCCACAAAGGGGACAGTACCATCAAACAAAACACACCCAACTTATCTTTGGAGTGCTGTTGCTGTCGGTGGTCCAGAACAAGTTGGGAAGAAGGGATGCGGCTCTGTCTGTAGTAGAAAATGTGCGGGGCGGGGCCGGCTCCCCGCGCTTCAAACAAGTGTTGCTGAGCTGACGCTGCTGACGCGTGCCTTCCCCGACTGGGGCCTCCACCCCCCCCATACATTGCCCATGCATTGCTTAGGGCCCATGGCAGGTCCATGGCCCCCTGCCCATGCCCCCCCCCCCCCCGCGTGCCGTGCCTGGTCACTTCCTTCAGCATGCCCATGGCCAAGTCCCAGCGCCCAGCCCTCAGCAGCTCGGTGCACAGGGCGTTCTGCGCCACCGGGCTGGGCGGCCCCACCGATGCCTGGAGGGTGCTGAACAGGGCCACGGCCTCGGGGACGCGACTTTCCTCTGGCCAGCCCCTGGTTTGGCTAAGACCCCTGGGAAACACATATTATTTGTTCAGAAGTGATAGATTCTCTTTAAAACCAACAGGGGAAACTAAAACATATTCTTAACCAAATGAAGTGAAGGGGACCCCCTGTTTACCCCCTTAGTTTCCTCTAAGCCGCGCATTTTTGACAAGGCCATGGGCCTGGTCTTCAGGGAAAGCAAGCGGGCGGGGAGGAGGTGGGGGTTGGGATCCGATGGTTGGAGCCACCTCTTAGGGTTTGTTTAGTTGGGAAACGGTCATCTTCGGAAAAGCTAAGCCAAAAACTCCCCAAGCTGTGTGAACCCCAGGTTCATACCAGGGGTTCATACCAGGAATTCATACCAGGGGTTCATACCAGGGGTTCATACCAGGGGTTCATACCAGGGGTTCATACCAGGGGTTCATACCAGGGGTTCATACCAGGGGTTCATACCAGGAGTTCATCCATGAAGATTCAATTCCTTTTTCTTTTCGCAGGCCTGCTGCCAGAGGTTGGCCTTGCCACAGGCAGACAGTGCCGAGACGCACATGACCATGTTTGGTCGAAGGGTCCTGCCGGGCTCTTCCAGGCTCTGAAAAAACATGCGCTCCCTACATGTTGACAAATTGCCCTTCATCACACCCAAGGAGAAAGTATGTAGTTCAGTACTATGGCCATAAAAGGAACCAACCCTCACCCCACTTCAAGCCACAGTTCAAAGGTGATGTTGACCCGGTAAAGTGAAGGATCCCCGCTTGAATGGGGCACAAATAGTCAGGTAACTTTCTTGGGGGAAAGATGCAAACAGTTGTCTAACCCCCCCCTCCCCGAAAACAGAAGTGCTATCTCAGCTCATACTTGTCTGTTGGCAACCAGCCAACCAAGCAACCAGCCAGCCAGCCGACCGACCGACTCACCCACCAGCCAGCCAGCCAGCCAGCCCGCCAACGGAACCACCACCCACCCAACGGAACCACCCACCCACCCACCCACCCACGGAACCACCCACCCACCCACCCACCCACCCACCCACCCACCCACTCACCCACCCACCCACCCACCCACCCACCCACCCATCCACCCACCACCCACCACCAACCCACCCACACCCACCCACCCACCCACAAACCCACAAACCCACAAACCCACAACCCCACAACCCCACAACCCCACAAACCCACAAACCCACAAACCCACAAACCCAACAACCAACAAACCAACAAACCAACAAACCAACAAACCAACAAACCAACAAACCGACGAACCAACGAACCAACAAACCAACAAACCAACAAACCAAGTTCCAGTCAGGTGAGCTGATGTCTTACGGCGATTCGGTCCTTCGGGGCAAAGATGCGAAAAGTCGCAGGGCCTGCTGCCAGCGACTTCCCTTGTCCAAAGCGTCAAGAGTGGAGCCCAACCTTGGCGTTCGATCAACCCTTCAGGAGTTAAAAAAGAAGAAGAAAAAACATGGATCCTAGTTTGATTGTTTGGGGGGTGCGCCCCTTTTAGTTTTGATTCATCACTGTTTGGGGGCACCTCCCATATCAAGAGGGTGGGTGTATTGATCATTGAGGTTCCATCCATGCCGCGAGCAGAGACAACTTGGAATCAATGAAGGCAGTGGCTATCCCGCGTAAGCATCTGCAACTACACCCAAACCGCACCAGGCGAAAATTGGGTATTACCCGCAGCTGCGAATTGGGGTCCTGGTTTGTCCTTGCTTCCAACTAAAAATCAGCCAAACAGGGTCCACGCCAACACCCATTTCAAAAAGACAAAAAGAGGTGCTCAATGGAGAAACAAGCCGAGCAAAGACTGGTGTACCCCGAAATAATGATCCTCATGCCAAACCATATGAGCCATATATCGCCACATATGGATGGTACATATCCATGTCAAAAACCAAGGCATGACATACCAAGAAATTGGGGGGGGGGGGAACAGGGACACACTGTGAGGGGCACATGAGCCCTTGTCCCCATGGCAACTTGTAAGAGAGGGCAGCACCCATTGGATAAAACATCACCTCAAGCCGAAACGAAACGCCAGCAAGGCGACGTCTCTCCAACCAATGAGCCGTGGAGCGAAAACGCATCAGGCTGGAGATGACTCTTCTGGAGCTTTTTCAGCAAACCAACGGCTTCAGGCCACCGAGAGCTTCTCGCACAGGCGCTGATGGCCACGTTGAAGACTACCTAAAAAAGAAAAACAACAAAACACATGGGAAGTAAGGCAAAGGAGGGTCAACACAAACTACTTAACTCAACAAACCAACAAACCAACTAACCAACTAACCAACTGAGTAACCAACAAACTAAACTAAACTGAGTACCTAACTAACTAACTAACTAACTAACTAACTAACTAGCTAACTAGCTAACTAGCTAACTAACTAACTAACTAACTAACTAACTAACTAACAAGGAGGGATAAAAAAAAAGGGAACCACAAGAAAGGAACAACACGACTAACAAACAAATCACCTGAATCATTTTCGTGGATGGCCAGTGTCTAACATGTTTGTTGACCCTAATGGCCATATGGAAACCCATCCCAACAAGTACAATTTATTGGCAGCTCTTGCTTGTGCGCGTCGGATTCCCGCCGCTATGTTCAGAAACGTGAGGAAGCTGCGAGTGCGACCGCGGAAGAAACAAGTTGTTGCCGTGCGAGCGAGCTACCACGTTCTCCTCCGAGTCATAAAGCAAGGATAAGGCCTCCCGCCAGCGCTTGCCCTTGCCACATGCAGAGATGGCTGCGCTGCACACCACCGGGGTTCGCCTCAGGATCTCAGCCCCATTTCACACGGGTTTTGCCAGCAAACAAGCCGAAAAAAACTTAGAGCCGTATTTCAGGGGGGTGAATTGGGAAATGGCATCCGATATCCGGCAAGCAGTGGCCGTGGTACAAAAGGCGGATCCTGTGTAGGGTTGTGTTTTGGTGGACAGCAAACAAGAAGGGACAGATTTGAGTGAAATAGACTGGCTGACTCTGTTTGCCCAGAACTCCGGGCCTCAGGGTGGACAAGTCCAGCTGCTGCAGCAAGTGCAGGGCCTACGTTGGTGCTGGTTTGGATCCAACCCCCCTGATTGATGGTTGATGCAAGGTTCCCCCCACAGCACCCCCACCAAGGGAAATTTCACCCTTAAATGTGCCGAAAAGGTACAGGGGAACGACAAAGTCATGCCTAAGTCATGCCTGGCTGGTTCCCCCATTGTAAACGCCCATGCAAGAAGTCATGCCTAAGTCCTGCCTTCGACTCTTTCCCCACTGTGAACGCAAGAGGTAACCGCCAAAAAAACTTAGCATGTGCCATACAAAGATGAATTTGCAATGCCAGGGGACAAGGAGGAGGGCATAATTTTCTTGTTGATTGGGTCATGCGCAACGCCTTCCCCCCATGCAAACGCAAGATGCAGTAGCCTTGTACTCAGGTTCTCCTTCCGTCCAAAAGGTGAATCAGCATCGTGGGGAGGTGGTTGGTCAAATTGCGCTTTCGCCGATGGAAACGCAAGATGTCACAGAATGCCAAAACAAAGGATCATATCAAATCTGCCTCGGACTGTTATTTTCCCACACTGCAGACGGGTGGGAAACAAACCGCAGGCCGCGGTTGTACCGTTGAACGGCAGCCCAAGCCTCTCTCTTCTTGGAAGTTGTGAGAAGTTGAGGCCCAATCACATTTTTGTAAAACACTTCTGAGAGCTTCTCTGATTTGCTGGCCTTGCTTCTGAGCCAAGAGACAAAAAACTCGGCCAACCCTTTCATGCCATCACGTTTCTCGCTGCTGAAGCACTGCAGCACCCAATCAATGCAGTCTGCTTCATTGTCAAGGTCCCACTCCGTTCGCACGATGGGCTGATCACCCGAAGCTGCAGAGGTTCCTGGCACAGTCGCTGGCACAGAAGCAGGAGTCGCAAGAGCTTTGGCAGCTGGTCCTTGAGCTGCTGGTGCAGGAGCAGACGCGTCAGACTCTGCAGGCTGCGCTTGGCTGCCCCGCTTCCGCAGCTTGGAAAGTAGGTCCCCCATGCCGCGCTCCATCTTCTCTTCTGCTGCATTTTCTGGCACAACGGCGGACGGAGCAGGCGGCTTGTACCAACCACTTCTTCGGCCAGATCGGACTAGCTCAGCAGCCTCTTCTGAAAAAGCTGTGTTCGGCTCGCCGCAGGCCGCGCAGAAGCGATCTGCCAGAGACACCTTCTGGGAGCAGCCTGCTTTGGAGCAATGAACCTTCTTTGGGCTCACAGCCGCCAGCAAGCCCAGCACCGCAGAAGTCTTGGTTTGCGGCTTTGCGTCAAAGCCAGCGCCAGCACGCTTTGAAGAAAACAGCTCCTCAAACCGCTCCTTTAGAACCACATTTCTCTGCAGCAGCTCGCCAGGCACAAAGCCACACCTTGCCCAGCCAGCACGTTGGTTTTGCTCAGACAGACCCTCCATGACGATCCTGCGAATGAGGCTCAATGCCATGAAAACATTAATGTCCCTTCCTTGGCGAGACAACTGAGCCTTCACAGCAGCCCACCGCGCACTCATGATGCTATGAGGCTGCTGGTCAAGCGCGCAGAGAGCTGCTGTAGAATAACTGGGCAAGACGAAGAGCTCCACGCCATACCGCTCCAGTAACCTTGCGTGCGCTGAAAACATTGAAGCTGGGACAGGTAAAAGCAGCACTAAACACAAAGAGGGTTCCTTGAGCTGGTTCCCAGTAAAAACGATGGAGTCAAGCAGCACCATGACCGAGGGAGTCACATGAATCATGCTACCTCCGCCAGTGTCAAGGATTAAGAGGCACTTCTCTTCTCTATCCGGCCATCTTTCTCTCAAAGGCTTCAGGCAGCACCTTTCCAGCATCTGCACAAAGCTAGCCGCAGTTTGGCTGCCGCCAGGGTTTGCAAACAGCTCCGCCTCGGGCCAGATGCGCGAAAAGGATTCATGCAGGCGCTTCTGAGGGACAATGACTCCAACCGGCAGTGGCTGACCTTGCATAGGCAGCCACGAGCATACCGTAATGTGCTCAAAGCTCGTGACTGCTGACACTGTAGCAGCCTTCGAGCGACCACTTTGAGTAATGATCCCGCGCATCTGAGTGAGGACGTCGCTCCTAGAAGAGAACCCCTTCTCGTCAGCTATGATCACACGCCCAGAGCTTGAGGCGAGCAGCACTCCGCTGGCAGACATCAGCCCCAGGCGGGTCAGCATCTTCTGAAGGGTGTCAAAGGCTTGCTCGATAACCTTTGGCTCCATCACGGCAGCCTGGTGCAAAGTCTTGGCCTTGAGCTTCTGCAAGGACAGGCTGTCTTCACGGGGCTGCGTGGCCTCGACCCATGCTCTGAAATCGCGCCAGAAGTGGGCAAAGCGAGGCCGGCGCTCAGCGAGCTTTGCTTCTAAGTCATCCCCGCACTCGTCCGCGCCGATCTCACCCAGCCTATGGCGCTGAGCTAATTTCAACTGGGGTTAGCGAAAGCAGCCAGCCACTCAAAAAAACATAACACACAGAATCACAATTTAGAATCCTGCTGATAAGGCGCTTTTCTAACTTCATCAAAACTGCCGCAGTTTCCAGCTGCTCAATCGAGAGGGCGGTACCGGTTCTTTGATGCCACTTCACATAGCAAAGAAGGTCTTGCTTCTCACGCTCCCCCAAGGATTCTTGAGGCGTGCGGCCCATCTTGAATTGAGCGGGAACATCCCAGGGAAGGGCCCCGTCCCCGAAGCTCTTGCGCAGCTTGTACAAGTAGTGCCTGTTTACACGCAAGCTTGTCAGCTGCTCAGCTGCCTTCGCTGGGCTTGTGATAGGGCAAGACTCACGAGCCAAGAGCTGGTGCAGCAAAGCGTAGAATTCCCACCTCTTTTGGTCGTGTGCGGAAGGATTTTCCGCATACTGTGCAAAATCTGCCTGCAGATCATCAAGCGTGTAGTCCACTGGGAGCACCACGGAAGCAACACCATTCTCAAACGCAGCCCAGCGCGGAGCATGCGGAGGCGGCTTGTCTGCCTCCGTCTCTGTGTTTGCAGCATACTCCCCCATGTAGCCTGCAATCTCGTCCCTGAAGCGCTGCTTATGCTTTTCACTGAAAGCTCGCCACTGGGCCATGTAGTCCTTCTGCATCCTCTTTTCCGCCCCATGCCGGTGTGCCTGCACGCGGGCAAACCAACAGAGTTCTGATTCCCTCGCCCTTCGCTTCCACCCCAGCTCCGGCAGGGCCATGTCGCTCAGCTTCCTCTTCTTGCCTCCAGCCGGCGCACTGACAATGGCTGCGCCCTCGCCGGTCCGGTCAAAGTTCTGAGACTCCTCGATGGCCGCGGCGGCATTCTCGTCGGATCTGGCCTGCTTCTGAGACTCCTCCATGGCAAGCTCTATCTTGCACTGATCCTCGTAGCAGAAAAAGCAAACCCTGACCACAGGAGACTTGTTGTCCGCTGACACCGCAGCCCCGCACAATGCGCAACCATTCTCATTGGCAGCAGGTTTCCCAAGTCCACTCACAGCCTTCTCTGCAGCAAAGCAGGCGCGGCAGAAGTTTGCCAGGGCTGAGGCGTTGGAACCAGTAATGGCGGTTGCGCAATCTACCTGGGACAGCTGGCATCACTGAAAATGTGTCACTCCAAGCAAAAGCACCGAAACAACATGGTGAAAGCGACTGCTAGAAACAAGTTGAAGGACGCAGCTTGGGAGAGTCTTGTGGGAAGAAGAAGCCACTTCAGCCAAGAACTGCAGCTGGCCTTGTAGATCTGCCTCAGGCACATCTGCCAAAGCACTAGCGGAACTCTGCGGAGGCGGAGGTGCCTCGTTCGGCGGCGGCAGCGGCGGCTCAAGCAGAGCAGCTGCTGAAGCTTGCAACGCCGCTGGTGCAGGTGGCGCAGCTTCTCCTCCCAATTTTGGCACTTCAAAACTCGGAAAAAACGAGATGCAAAACGAGATGGAAACGAGATGGGAACGAGATCTGAAATCAGTCAAACTTGGCCCACTCTGCTCAAGCTTCAAAATTGACAAAAGCTGGACAACAAAGTTGCGCCTGCACCGTTTGCTACAGGCTTCGAAAACTGTGAGTCGTGCATCTTCCTGGCTAGCGCGCTCCGAACCTCAAGGAGCAACTTGCCGTCGGTGTCGACGCCCCATTCATCACACAGCTCATAGAGGTTCGGCGCGGCCAGCCGAACGATCTGAGCTTCAGTCAGCCGCTTGGGGGCCATGGGTTGCTGCCAAATGCCCCTACGCCCACTACATGAGCAAGGCAGAAAGAAACTCAAACACGGTCTTGGCTAAAAAAGGCTTCTGTCAGTACTGTGCTCTCAGCATGCAGTTCATCCAACCGTGCGCTGCAGTCAGGCTCAGCACTTGCAACAAATCAAAGCACGACTGCACGCGACTCTTCGAGACAATGTAAAAGATTCTGCCAAAGATTCGATGCGAAGAAAAGCACATGAAGACAAGGTATTTGCGCTCTGAAGTTTGTCCCTTTTCCTTCACCTCGGCCCAAGGCTGCGAAGGATGCCCCAATATTCCCCTATTGGATCTCTCCTGCTCCATACTTAAAATCTCTCATTGGCTTTTGAGGCAATGAGAGCAGCCACACTTATCAGATTCGCCAAGAGATGTTCGCACCACTTGGGATACCTGATGCACAAAACCTAAAAGGCAATGGCTATCCAAAGCCTGATAGCTGCGACTCGTCTTTAAAAGAGCGCACGCACGGACACAACTGTAGCACCAAGAGCCGGTCACTTCACGGGTCCGGTTTGGACGCTTGTACTCCCAGCGAACAGCATGCTTTGCATTGCGGCACACGCAGCATTCAGAACTCTCGGGAACAGGCTGACCCTTTGGAGTGTGCCTGTTCCCTGACGGTAGGTCAGCCTTGCGCAACAGCTCAAAGATGTTGCTGTGCTCTTCCCGAAGTGCCCGCGCAAAGGCGGTTGGATTGCCAACCTTGGATTGGGATGGAAATATGTCCTGTGGATGACACCGTTCAGTCCTGCAAAATCACTTGGCTCATGTTGCGCTCTCCTGGAGGCCGCGCCCCAAGACCCTTGCATTAACCCCCATCTCTGCAAACCCCAAACATTAAAACACCCTAGGCAACCCAGCGCCACCATCACCACCATCACCACCATCACCACCACCACCACCACTACCACCACCACCACCCCTTACGACCGAAAGCAAAGCAAACCACAACAGCGCCAACAAACACGATTCAACCGTCAAAAAGCAAGGCGCGCAACAGCAACTGCAAACAGTAAGCAGTCAGCAAACAGCTAGGCAAAACCACCCCAACCACAGCAACAACAACCACAGCAACAGCAACAGCACACAAGAGAGTAAAAACCACCTGGGAAACAAGGCGAAACACAACAGTCGCAGCAAAACACAAAAAAACAGCCGAGCAAAGCAAAAGCAAACCCTAGGCCAAGGCTCAGGAGCTTCTGCTGGGTCGGGCTGACGTCGCTGAAGGACCTCGGCAGTCACAAAGTACAACTCCCCTGTGGCGGTCACCTCCCGGACCACCACCACCAGCACCACCACCACCACCGCCAACACAACCATAACCGCCAGCGACAGCAGAAGCTACAGCAGCCCCCACCAAACAAACAAAAGTTGAAATCCCGTCAACACCGCGCAGCCCTCACGCTGCCGAGGCCGAGCTCCATCGGCCAAACCCTTACCCCAACACTAGCTACGGGAGTTTACCATTGTAAGTTTACTTCTACGTCCCTTCAAACTGCAGTTGCGGCAGGGTCCGTTACCAGTCTGTTTCAAACAAAGCTCTTAAGGTGAAGCTGCCTTTGAAGCCCAAAACCCGCGTAAGCTTCGTTCTCTTGAAAAGGGTTCAAAAAGGAAAAGGTTAAAAGCGTACTCCTCAAAAAATCCTGCACTTAACACTGCGCCGGCTGCTTCTCGCAAGGCACCTGCGGTACAGGTGAAGGTGTGCTGGCGCACTCCTCCCGACATCGCTTCCTTGTCGGCGTCTCTGCTGCCATTGCTCTCGGCCCAAATGGCTCAGAGCAATCCAAGACCCCAAATGGCTCCAGGCCATCGAACGAGTATCAAAAACACAGAGCCGTCCACAAAACCCCAGAAGATCGCAAAACAAAGTCTGTCACGCTGCAAACAGCAGGTTGCTGTGAGATCTACCAATCAAAGCAGGGAAGCCCGCCCACCAAAAATGCTGGCATTCCATTGTATCTTAGCAACATATTCTCACATAGAAGCGCCGGACATGGAAAGGTGGCGACCCAATGAAACAAACTGCATAAACACAGGAATCCGAACCCCAATGTAAACGCAACACACATCTGCTTTCAGGACCTACTGGGCCCAGGTCTGGAACTGGCAAACCCCACTGTAAACGCAAGCCCAACTGATCACACAGCAAAATGCAGCCCTCACAGTGCACCATCAGAGTTCGTATGCGTTCGGCATTCCTTCGTATCTTAGCAACATATTCTCACACAGAAGCGCCGGACATGGAAAGGTGGCGACCCAAGGTAAGAATTGCATAAACACGGGAATCCGAACCCCCATGTAAACGCAACATACATCTGCTTTCAGGACCTCCTGGGCCCAGGTCTGGAACTGGCAAAACCCACTGTAAACGCAAGCCCAACTGATCACACAGCAAAACGCAGCACTCACAGTGCACCATCAGAGTTCCTATGCGTTTCCCGGAAAGGCACGACTTCTTCGACATGCTTCCCCGCACCTAAATCTAACAACGCCTACTCCGGAGGCACGACTTTGTCATATGCCTGTAGTGTTTGAAGCCAACAAAGGGTCTACAAAAGCCCCCACATACAGTAAGATGGACCTTCACTTTTTCTGTGGGGTGTGTGTCCCCTGTAGATTGATCTGGGGTCAACATTGCTCCCGAACGATGCAGACAACATTTACCACAATAACTTGGACATAGCGCACGTATCCAATACAGAAGGACATATAGGAGACCCCGTTGGATGGCAAGATTTGCAAGACAAAAGTCAAGGATCCGCAACCTTCCGCCTCATGTTGGCTGAAGGTCGGTATAAGCCTAGCGCCTAAATGAGTAGGCGATTTGGCGGGAATGTCCACTGATTGCCCCTCAGGGTTCCGTAGATTTCCCCTAAACCCATCACCACAAATGGAAACTGCCTTCAAACTTGCCCTTCCACAAGTGTCTCAAGCAACCCGTCAAAGAAAAATCTTAGGGAACCCCCTCCAAAGCAGAACCTGTCGACACCAATGGGCGGGAAACTGGGTTCGAAAAAAACAAGGGCCTGGATTCCCCTTTGCTTGTAACAGGTACCCATCTCCTCTTGGTTTCCCTTTGGGATGACCAATTCTGGCTGCTACTGATCACACCAACTCGCTTGCTTTCTGCTCCCCTGCCAAAAGTTCTCAACTTTTATTGGTTCAATACGGAAAACGCCTTTTAGTTGGCCAAAAGTTTTCAAGTCCTAACATCCCTTGGCAAAATGCCTGGCAAAGCCAAGGACACCCAGCGCCTCTTGCCAGTTTCCTCTGCAGGCGCCGATGGCCTTGGTATAGGCCACCACATCCATGGCGCGGCCATGGCCAGCTGCAGCCAAGGACTGAAGCCAAGGACAGCAGGGGGTTGCAAACGCGTGACCTGGATTTTGGGGTAGACTTAGGATACATTTTACATTTTACCAGTGACCCAAAGGGAAGCAAACGATAAAATATACGTTCTATCACTTGGCCTGACCCTAATCATGGATTTTGTTGCGTGTGAGTGTGTGGTGATTTTGAGGGTATTCAACCCTTCTCATGGTTTGATGGGAAAAGCACCACCAAAAAGTGGGGGTCCCCTATTTCGACTCATACCCAGCTCCGCCATGCTTTTAAGGAGGAAACCACGGGAGTGTGTAGGGAGCACTCGGTCAAGCTGGCCTCGTTATTTTTCCGTGATCAAACTGACCCCCAAAGTCGGGCGTTGAAGGAAAACAGCCCCATTTTCTCTTTGATAACCCCTAGAAGCAGTCAAAATCATGACTTCAGTGTCAAGTCGAGGAGTTTGTCTGAGGCGGGTGCGGCTCCAATCACCTCCTGCTCAGTATCTGCCGGCAGATTTCCCACGAAGAGCTGGCCCCCTGAACAGGGCAGGGCCAACCCACCAACCCACCCACCCACCGACCCAACCAGCCACCCCGACCCATCAACCTATCCAACCTGTCAGATCAGCACCACCTACCCAGCACCCCACCCCACCCCACCCAACCTCACCTCACCCCACCCCACCTAGAGCCCACAACGCCCACACCGCCCATTCGCTGCACGCCTCGTGATCTGCTGCCGTTGCCTTCCCAGCCTCGGCCTGGCACTCAGGACTTCCAGACTTCGCCGCAAAAGCGTTCGGGCCAAGATTCGCAGGGCTGGCCTAACTACCAACCCTTAGTAGTTAAGGTTTGTTCCTGTAGTATTCAGCCCAAACCGTAAACAGGGTTTGATACCTGCTTGTTCCTTTAGTATTTAGCCAGCAACAAGAGCAGGCGTTGCGATTAAAGCCGTTTCACCGCCAAAAAGGCTGGCTTGCTCATGAAACAAGCGGCATACCCGCACGGAAGACGGGAACATCATGCGTGCGGCCTTTCCTCCGAAGTGGTGGGGACGGTTTCGCCGGCGTCAATTGCGACCCCAAACGTTTCGCAACTTCGGAGGTTATCCTTGAGGTTGCCAAGTTCGAATAGTTTCAAAGGGTTGATTCCCCATTCTCTTCACCCATCGTTTGTTTTAGAAAACAATCATTTTCCTGGGGGTTTTGCTCATTTGTTGAAAAGAAGGATCCCTTAAGAGACTGGGGAAGGCATGGCTGGTAACTTCTTTCTCCTGGGCAAGGCCCTGATTAAGAATAGGATATTGTTTGATCCGGGGTTACTATTAGGGAGGTTACGCTACAGGGTGCTGCCAAGTTCCGTGATTCACAAGGCGATTGCTTTGAGCAACTTGCAGTTCTAAGTTCTACTTGCCCGGGGCAACTCGAAATGGAGAAATGGGGCCAGGCCCCTGAGCTTCATGACCCTCATAGCAAGCAAGCGGCCCTGAAACTCTCCATCTGGCACTTCCATGGCCAAGGCCTTGGGGTGCTGGTCCTATTCTGGATGCTTCGTACCTTGGAAACCACCCTGTCACAAGGGCAACAAAATGAAAGGTAGAAAATTCGCCTTCCAAAAAGGAAAACCAGAGAAGCCGATACCCATTTTCTACTCTAGAGGATTGGTCGTTGATTGGTGCGGAGCAACCCTGATCTGACGGAAGCACTGGCCTCTGGTATCCCGCCAGCCTGGGCGGGAAGCATATCATGGCGAAACTCCACACGACTGACATGGGACACCGCGAAGCACAGCTTTATATGATATGTAATGAACATACACGATATGTGCACACATGATATTTATCCATCATGATTGTCATCAGCAAACTGCGCATGTGTCAAAACTAGACATGTACTCGTGACGTGCAGCCAAAATGCAGCATGCATGCATCCTAACCCTAATGATGTGCGCTACACAGGGCTGAACATCATTTCATATGCGCCACATAGACTTGTTTTCCACTTTTGTGGTGAAACTGGCTGTCCTCGTGTTGTTGCCAAGAGATCAGTTGTGATCTAGACCACAAAATCATATCGGTAATATGCAAATATGACGCTTTATCACAAGGTGGACCGAATCGGCTGCATCAAAAACGTCGGAAAAGGTGGACTTGCAAAAAACGAAGCGCTTTGCCCAGTGGCCCAGCGAGTAGCACAACTTAGTCTGACATTGCGCCCTCCCCAGCGGTGCCATCTGCGTTTTGTCGCCAAATAGAGATTGTCGGATGTGCATAGTCATCCTTATCACACTGTCAGTTTGCAAACACTATGTACGCTCAAACCCTGACAAAGAAATGGGTGTTCTACCCAAATTAGAAAGCAACACCTCGCCCGACTGAGCAGCCAAACCCGAGTAGTGTGCAGCATTCCAGTCCTGAAGCAGGCTGAGACTTGCCGCTCGGCACGCACAGAATGGGCCAAAGTCTTCAATCTCCCTAGGGAAACGAACAAGCATCCATCGTCCCAACATAGCAACCTAAGGGCGGCCATGTCGCAAACATGATCACTATATGACAGAAGCGACTTCACGTCCGGAGTTGCCTGGAAGCCTGCGGAGTGCGATCTTTCATGTCAACTTCAGATTAAACAATACCATCTTCAAAGAGATCCCGCTAAAACTCACCTATCACCACCGGGAGAACCACACAAGATTCATCAGAGGAGGGGTCCTCTTCCTGGCCTCGCAAAACCACACCACCAAAGTCTCAAGCGTGCTTCAGGGCCGAAAACAGCAAACCAATATCGCCAACCACCCACGCACGCGCACACACACACACAGCCCAGCAAGCACGCAAACCTACCGCATGCAACCCCACACAACTCCACAAACACCTCACCAACCCCAAGCCTACCCCTCTCCCACCCCCAACCAACGCCAACCCCTCCACCCCAACCAAGCCCATGCAACGAGCGAGCAACAACATCTAGGCACCTCAGGAGGAGCTTTGCCAGCGCCATCCTTGTCTTTGCCGCCCTTGCCTCGGTAGGTAGAAAGCAGGGAGCCGCTGGGGTGATTCCGTTTTCAAGGGAGCCCTCCAGACAACCAAGAACCAAGCGAACATGCGATACTCTCCCTGACCAATTAAGAAACAGCTCGGGCCAAATAGTTAAACCCTGCACGTGGCCAGGGATCCGCCTCTTTCGCGAAGCCTTTCGCGTTGCCTCTTCCCCCTTTCACCAAACCCCACAAACCGACCTCCAAAACCAATGGTTTCCCCAGAAAAACTTCCCACACAAAAATGGTTTCACCAAAGTTTCACCCACCGCTTCCCCAGAAAAAACCCAATGAACCGCCCTCCAAAAGAGGTTTCCCCAGAAAAGCCCAATGGTTTTTTGGCAGACCTCTGCTCTCCGGCCAGGCCAGACTCCAGAGAGCCCGGGCCCGAGCCCTTGCGCTGGTTGGCCCACTCCACCTGGCCCAAGCGCGCCGAACCACCCCCCGGCGTCCAAGCGCCCAACAGATGGCTGTGGCTCAAAAATGGGCAGAGGAATCCCATGGGAAATGAAACCATGGAAGAACACCTGCGTTTTTTCCTTTTTGTTTTCCTTTTTTCTGGTGGTTTAATATCGCTTTTTGGGGGATGCTACAGGCACAAACGGACTGTCCTCAGTGCAGGCTGGAACTCGTTGGAGTAAACCAAAGGCCAAAGCCGACCCCACCAAAGGTTTGAGGCGCCTGATCCATTCTGACCAGAGATGGATCCGATTGAACCTTTCTGGGGAGGGGGGCATAATGATTCTCCTTGATGGTGTGTCTGTTTGGAGGGTACCATTTGTGGGGTTGGTTTGGAGGGAAGTCAAAGAGAAACCCTTCTATGCGAGTTTTCCCTGTTGGCCATGCTGTGGATGGACGAATTCCTGCACCACTTTGAAACCATGGGAAACCACTGTTTGTTGGTATTTGCAAGGGGGTCATACCATTCCAGGTTTTCTTAGGTGGTGCAGGATTTTGTCCATCCGTGGTACGTTTCCCATGACTTCGGAACGTGCACAAACCACCAATCGCACTCAACAGATCGTTGTGGTCCCTATGACAGCGGACGCCAGAACCCGGTCGGACTCTTTGCGGCTTCCCTTGACACACCGCCATCCCAAATGGGGGGAGAGTGGGGGCAACTCAGTCGGCACTCTTTCGTCTGCTCCATACTCACTGGCGAATGCCTTCCAAATTCGCATCTGTCCAGTTGATGGACATAGGCTCCCAAGGCTTGTGCCTTGACCACGCATGCAAAGCAACCCTTGATACACATGTCTGCCCTGGCTTTTTGGAGCGCTTGCAGGCCAGCCGAAGCTGGTCTGCTGGTTGGTCGCTTGCCACAAACAGGAGAACCAGTAATGTATGATGTAACAGTACCCATCAGAAGCCCCCTTTTCAAGAAGAAATGAGTTAGATTGTTGAACCATTCGTTTGATGGAATACAATGGGGACATGCAAGGATTCAAAAACATCTCTGGGTCGCTTTGTATTTGCTGGAAACCAGGTGAGACCTGCGGTGAAGCTAAGCCAACTGCAATTCTGCAGGGCTGGTGCATTTGCACTGGAACTTGGCGGAACGCATGTGGGCGTGAATTTCAATTGGAGACGGTTTGGTGGACATCATTCAGATGGGGATACGTGTCCACCAAGCATTTTTAAGGGTGTTTGTTCTCCATTAGAATTCATATCCATGTGTATGTGTGGGGTTGATCATTTTTATTGGGAAAAGGGTGACACTGAACAGCTTGGCACACTTGCCATGCTCGAGGATCTCCACAAACAACATTCCCAGCGTACTGCGTCCCACCAGAAGACCAGACACGAAGACTGCAGCTCTCAATACTCGCCTTCCACGAACCTAACAACGGAAGAAGTTCACTGGTTTCCTTTCGCCGCTCGCCTTTGGAAGCCCCGCCCTGTGTGGTTCTCTTTCATGGGGGATCCAAAAATGCATCCGAGCGATTGGGCAAGTTCCGAAGGAACCACGGAAGCTCATAGCGCAAATCTCCGCTGGTGCCAAACTGGACATCTGGTTGCTTGAGGTGTGATCACTGAAATGCATGTCCATCCGAAGGAGGTCAGGACAAAAAAAGAGTGAAGTGCAAGGAGGATCATGCGCCACTCAAGGGAGACCAGCCCTTAAATTTGAATGCACCGACGTTGCAAAAGATGCATGAATCATGAAACCACCCAAAAGCCTTGGTCTTCACCCAGCGGTGAAAACCATTGGCATAGTACATGCGGGGATGCAACCCCAAAAGAGGCACTGTCTATAGGAAAAGTCTTGCCTGTTGAGTGCTTTGCCAGTCACTTGCGCTTTTGCTTCCTTCCAAAACATTAGCCACACAAACCTCTCGATCATTCCGAGCCTAAGCATCACCCTTCCAAAAGGCAAATCACCTTATAGTAAGAAGAGTCAATGACTCAGGGAATAAGCTTTGGTCTCCGTTTGAAACCATCCACACTCATCTTACAAAGACTAAAGAAGTCAAACTCTCCTCTCTGCCTCTCTTCCCTTTTGTATCTTTCTTGTCTGTTCCCTTCTCTTTGGAGGAAAGTGAACCGAAGGGCAAGACTAAAAGCCAAATAGCTGCAGCATCAATCCAAGCCACCCGATGGTCCCGTAGTCGATATGCTTGTCATGGGACGGGCCTCCGCCACTGACCTGGCACCGTTTGAGTGATTAAATCCCTTCTGGGTTCAAAGTGACATCCTCATGTTTTCGCTCTATACTTTTTGCTTTTTTAACGACACCCCCCGCAAAAAAGGAAAACACTACAAAAACAACTCGTTAGCCGTGCTGAAAACACCTAATCAGGCCAAGGTGGCCCAGGCCAGGTTCACCAGAACTCGGTCCTTCTCCAGGCCAGTGCCGACCTTTGACCAAAACTGGGCTGTCCGTCTTCTGATCCCCGGCTGAAAGTTTTAACCTTTAGTGGGGTAAATTCAGAACCCCCCTGAAAACCCAAGGAACCGGACGGCTGGGAACCACCAAGGAAAGGTTAGGCGTTTGGTTGAAAGGGTGAGGGAAGCCCAAAAAAAGGCAAAGAGTGAAAAAGGTAGACGCCGAGCCTGGTGTGAAACGGTCAGCTAAAGGTAAAATAATGGTAAAAAGGCAGGCTTTAGAGCCCAACCGACTCTGCAAACCGAAAGAAGCCTTTATTCCAGACAGGGTGCAACCTGATACCGCAGCCCAGGCCCGTTCACCAGCGTGTCATGCGAGATTTGGAATCTCTCCTGGCGCGAATCGCAGATCGGCCCCAGGCTTGAGTGTTGGACCACAAAGTTCCGCATAAAATTCAACAGGGGGCCAAGCTCCCAAAGTCTGGGTGTTGAACGGTAGACATATCCCATGGGAACATATCCCATCCCATGCTGGTCCATGTTGGCTTCCTTTTTGTAAAAATTTAATTACACCAACTATATCGATCCCAGCAACGCAACTGCAACAATCAACACCCCCGAGGTACCTTTTACGCGGTCAAAGAGCTTTGTGTTCGCTCCTTCCGAGAAACTGCTCGAGTTCAACGAGAAACTCAGCTGTCCAAAGGACTCGGCAATTAGAACAGGTGCAACTTCTGGGGCATTAGACATGGTTGCCAAGCGAGACTCACAGGAACTCAAGGAACAAGCAAAATCTAAATGGTATCCACTGAACTGGTTCTCTGTTTTAGGCTTAGTTTGTTTTAAAGGGCCCCCCCCCCTCAAAAACACCATGAACCAAAATGGAAATTTGCACCCACCCACCCCAAAGCAAATAGCAAATGAACAAACATGGACTTAAGCACTTTATTGGGCCTGGGTAGTCCGTTCTTTTCTCCTCGCCTTGGTGAGGAACTCGTTCTTGAAAATGCAGCTGAGCTCGCAGGTCACCACCAGGTCCACGCGCTGCAGCTGGATCTCCAGGCCCAGGTCGAACTCCATCTGCGCCGCGCGCCGCATGCGCGCGGAACCGCGAGCCGAACCAACAAACGAGGCTTGCCACCCAAAAGTCCCAAAAGCCCACGGATCCACTGGGGTCAAATGCAAGGGGTATACCTCCAGTAGCTACCTGAGGAGTGTCATCCTGGGATCTGGGGGTTGAATCCTGGGATCTGGTTTCCAACTGAAAGCCTTGAATTGAAGGGGGAGATGCCACAAAGAAGCCTCACCTGTGCGCTTCTTGGGATGGAACACAACGCCTTCCACTTCGGTTTCCAGTTGGGAAAATCGGCTGTCAGTGGATTCTCCCTTCAAAAGTTGCAACCGGTAGGTTGTTTTCCATTGAAACGATCGCCACTTTTGGAGGTTCCAAAGAGAAAAAAAACAGAGGACATTTTGATTGAGCCCACTTCTCAAAGCTGGGGACCCCTCCAGGCCAGCGGTTTCCCGTCGGTTTCCCTTTAGAACCATCCTATTCTGGCTTGTGCTCAGTAGGGAATCACCTTCCGGGTGTTGGGACTGAACATCCGGATTACCTCAAAGGCACCCATCGAAGATTATTACTTTATAGTGCCGGGTCATTCCAATGTCTCATTCCCTGTCTCCCGAACCGATCGCAGCTATCTTGCGCCACACCCGCATGGCTCCCCCAGCAACCCGAAACCGAGCGCCGCTCTCCGCACGTCGAGCGCCGCGCCGGAAGCGGCGAAGGCGCGCGCCTTGTTCCCGGAGCCCGTGAGGTGCACCGGCGCCGAGGGCGCCGGCGCCGCCGAGGCCAGCGCTCGCACTGCGAAGATGCCTTCGAAGCCCAAAGCCAAAAACAACATTTCGTCCCCTGAGGCGTTGTTTTAAGGTCTTTGGTTTTGGTGGGTAAGCTTAAATATGTTTCAGGTTGAAGCGTAAAACAACCCCTTGGTGTTAGCACTACTTCTTTCTTCTTTGTGTGATTCTTTCCTCACCACTGTGGCGCCGCTGGCTTTCACTTTTTGCCCACGAGCTCTCTGTGCCGTTGCGTCGACCAGAGGGTCTAGGCAACGAAAGGCGCCCGTTGATCATCAGGGGCACCCCCAAGCCCACGAGTATGGGTATGATTTTTAGAGACCCTTTGGCAAACATCATTTACATGACATGTATGGCCAACAAACTTCAGGAAACTCGGTGAACACAAGAAAGAGTGCCTCTCAACGCATTGCTTAAATAGCTGGGTGCTTTCCTCCTGAGATTCTGCTTGAAAGGTATCGGAAGGAAGTCCTCAATTGAGGGCATGCCCAAATTGGCTCCTGACCACTGCGAGACCCATCCCTGGATCTTCATGCTCGGGACGCGGGGCCCATCTTGTTGAGGAAGCCATTCTTTCGCTCCAGGGGAACCGCCCCTGCTAACGCCTCTGATCCGAATCTGTCGGAGAAAACTCGAATGGGCCCCGTACCGGTTCAAGGTCAACCAGCAACCAGTCAGAAAACATACCCCGAGGCGCCAAATTTCCTTTCTGCTGGTATATTCCCAACACTTTGTAAATTGTCTGGGCGAAGTACTGAAATTTACAAAATGCAAATAGGGAGCCCCCTAGCTAGAGAGCCTTCATAATGGCTGAACTCATTTACACACCAGGTGAGCTCATGCTGATTCGGCCGGGATTGGTGGCTTCCTGGCTGCCTACTGAAGCACTGGGCCAAATGGGCCGGTTGAAATGAACCTTCTCCCCACGCTTCCTTCTTGCAATCGAGCCGCCTGAGAAGGTGGTGGCACTGCAAAGGAAGCCAAAGTACTTGCCTGCAAATGAGGCAAAGTTCAGATTTGAGGGACATATTTCCCAGAGTGATGAAAGCTCAGCTGGGGACTTAAATGCGGCGTCTATCTCTCTGCAGCTTCAACCGGCTATGCTTCGGATATGCCAAATGGAACCTGACTCGAGGTTCCCAGCAGGCTGCTTTCTGTTGACCTTCAGCTTTCAATTCAATGCCGGAAGGAAGGGCAGTTAAAGACTCGCTTGCCCAAATGAAATCTGTAAACTTGTTTCGAACTCAGAGATTTCCCCGTAGAATGAATCAGAATCAAAATTGTTGGTGACCTAAAGAGACCTTGAAAACCGTGTCATTCATAGAGACTGGACCAACAACACACCCATTCTGACTTTTTTTTTAAACTCTTGTATTACCCGGCCTTTTAACACCGCCTGTGGCTGGCATGTTTGGCAGGCCGGGCAAAGCAACAAGTGCTTTCGTTGAGGATGCGCCCTATCGAGGTCAATGGTTGCTGAACGCTTGATTGGCGTCGGACCCAAGCGGAAAGTGACAAAAGAAGCTGGGCATGCCACACGAAAGCTGCCAAACAAATGCCGCGCAGTCGGGCAATCGGGGTTAGCCTATGGCCATCAAGGTTGCTGCAACAAACGCAGGCCAATGGTACCGCCCTGGCAAGGGAGACCAAATGAAGCCAAGGGCTCGAAACATGAGATTGCACTCAGGGCTTCATGTTTGTTTTTGCCCAAGTCTCCTTGGCATGGCCAAGGTTGCTCCGAGACATTCCTAACAAACTATCAAGTCCTTGCAGGGTCGAAACTTGGCTTGCTTTCATGTGTCTTTCATTTGGCCATCATGTCTCAAGGAATCGATTCAAATTGGTCATATTTGTGTTGACAATTCCTTCTTGGAATTGAAAGGACAGCTCAAAGGAAGCTACATAAAGATGTCTCAGGCTCAAAGGAAAGAACGCCGCCAAAACACCAACTGCAAGGTTCACAAAAAAAAAAAAAAAAAAAAAAAAAAAAAATTCCAGTGGCACAGCTTTACCCTTGGAGGCTCCGGGGCCCCCCGTGTTTTGGCGAAAACAGGCACACCGCGGCACATCGAGGCGAAGGCCTTCGCCATAGGAGAGACCCACGAAGACTTCGTGCTCCGCGTTCCAGAGCAGCGAGTTGGGCTCCTGAAGGGCGCGAGGAGCGGGAAACGCAGGGATTCGAAACGGTTTGCACCAAGGGAAGCCTCACTCCAAGATGGCACCAGAGATGGGGTCGCAAGAGGGAAATGATCTTCCAGGTGCCCTCCCATGCTATATTAGTGGAAGGGAGGGTAAGCCCCTGAGGTGGAGAAATGAGGGTTTGGTTTTGGGGGGCCATGGCGTCTTTGGGGCAAATCGGGTTTTGGGCATCCCCCCAAGGAACAGCTCCAACCGCTTCCTTTTTTTGGTTGGGACAGCTGAGATCTTTTGCCAGTCCTGACAAGTTCGCCCTAAAACATGGCAAAATCCAGGCCCGTGCCCCCAGGAGAGCGCAAAGGCCCTGGAGACCTCCCCAGGTGCGCGAACCACGGGATTTAGATCCTTGTGTTGGCTGACTTTGGCCAGACTCTAGGAATATGATCCAAAAGAGGAACCAAAGAGAAATCGCCGATTTTGGGGGGATGAGGCATTTTGGGGATGAGGCATTTTTGAAGTTGGCGAGGGTCGACTTAGCCACGCTTGAAATGTTGAATTTCCTGTGTGAAGAGCCCGGTTAGGAGCACGACATCACTCGACTAACTCACCAATATTCATGGAACTAAATGCAAGTGTGGGCAATTGCTTCTATATATACACAGGTTGGGGCACACCCTGCCAACAAAATAAGCCCAATGAGTCAATGAGCATCCCGCGCACATTCCCAACAGCCAAACCTCATCCGGAAACCTTGCGGGGCCATAGCCGAGCAGCTGACAAGGCTACACGCAGGCGACTAAGGCCAGAGTCCCGCAGCACATCTGCCTGGCGGGTAGAGAGTTTGAACTCCAGTGGAACCCATCTGTTGCGAGACCGTTCAAATGGAAAGGGCGGATTTCAAGAAAACCAATCCAAGCACAACATCTTGAAGTTCTCTTGAAGTGCCCTAAAGCTGTTTCGTTTTGAATGCCCACTTGAGCACTCAACCTGTAATTTCCCCATTTGAGATTCCTACAGGAGGTACAGAAAAAGACACGCGAAACTTGGTGGTCATCCAAACTGTTGTGAAGCCAGCCTCGGCGAAAAGCTGCCCAAAACGATACAAACTGCAGAAGTCTACCATTCTGCTTTGACACCGCACTTGGCTTCAGTTTGAAAGCCTGGCATTCCATTGGCACAAACTTCCTGCGTAGCCTTTAAGGTGTCAAAGAGAGGCCTCTAAACGCCATCAGGCATTGAAGCCTAACGCAACATTTAGATTGGGTGAATTTATGAGGAAGTGATAGCTTTCCAACCTGCTGACTGTAGGCCTTCCGCACTGGCTGCCCATGTCTAATCCCGGCAAGGGGGCTCTATTTGCACCCCAAGCATCAAGTTGAACATAGGCTATGCCACTGCCATCATGTGGATTGCCTGGCCCGGTGAACCCTTCGTTGGACATGAAGTTGGATCCCTTGTTGGTAGCCTGCAAGGTCGTTGTTTGATGCTGAGTAAGCCTCTGTTTGATGCCAATCCCCGAATCTTCAAAAATTGAAAGCAACAACAGCTGCAGGGAATCCATTCAGGCTTCCACTGCCCCCAAAACGGGCTGGACGGCTGGGGGGGAAAGAGTCCCCGAGTGTTGGCAAATAGCGGCCTCCGAGAGAGTGAGGGCCTGAGAACGCCCTCGAGGGGGTCTATGACAGGAACCTCTTGGAATCTTCCCTCGAATTGGTGGTTTGGATTGGTGGTTTGGTGGCTGGGGGAGTGGTTTCCCATCTACTCTCTGCATCATGTACTCCTCGGGATGTTCTGCATGATTGCCCAAGCGGACATGCAATGGCTACATGAAAATACGTAAAACTATATATATATAACTATATGTTTTGCACATGTGTATGTGCACAAGTAGCGTATGATAGGATCATGCAAGGGTCCATAAGGGGGTCCCTTCTTTGGCAACAGATCTCCCTCAGCCCCAAAGCCATCCACCCGTCCGAAGGGAACTCGAGTTCTCCGCCTGTAGCAAGCGCTCGCCTGCGCCCACGTTGAAGGAGCAGCCCTGCGCCAGGACCTGCGAGCGGGTCGCTCCCGCCCGGAACCGGAACCCACCCCCTCGTTGAGGCGAGCTGAAGACTTGGGAGACAGAGCCCAAGACCTGAAGAAAAAGCAATTGCCAACCGCGAAGAACCAAACTCATGTAGCAAGGTCCCATGTTTGGATACCTGGTTTCTCAAGGGATACAAAAACCGCCGACCAGTGCTACAAACAAGGGGAGTCCTCTAGATCAGGCGGTCCTTAAACGTTTGCTTTAAGCCCACCTTGGGAACTTGGCCGGGGTCTTTGGGTCTCTGAGTTAGGACAGGCCATGCGCAACTTTTTTCGGACTCAAAAGTCTAGGGTCCACCCTAGGATTTTTTGCATTTTTTGAATAAGCGCCTCAAAACAGCCATTTTAAAACATTTTTTGAAACAGTCTAAACACATTTTGATAAATATTTTTTTAGTACTGCATACCAAAACAAAAATTGAATTATTTTTTGAAAAATTCAATACACCTAAACATGTTTATTTTCAAAAACACACATTTTCCAAAATATTTTAGAAAATATATTTTTTTCAAAAGAGATAAATATATATATCATTTTAAGAAGAATTATTCAATAAGAAACAACATTTTCAATAATTCAATGAGAAGACAAATAATTAATCATTTTTCAAAATTTGGATATTCCGGAGTTGCGCATGGCCCACCTTGTAGGATTTTATCTTCAATATATAAAACGCTATACTTACATTATAATTATAACATATAAGGGTATAAATGTTATAATCATAGTATGGTTATAATTTAAATTCAGGATAACTATTTAATTGATATATCGTTCCTCTTTCATACATCATTTTAATAATACTATTAATATCTCTCACTGTATTTTGAACATTAAAATTTTTACTTTCAATAAATAATTTAATGATTTTTTTTACATCAAACCCTCTTTTTTTTGATAAATCAATGCCCATAATATGTAGTCAATAATTTCATACTTTTTCTTACTGATTTCAAGAAATGCTTTAACATAATCATAAGGTGGTATTTCATACACAGTTAAAAATATCAAAATGTCATCTTCAACATTTCTTTCATTAAACCTTTTAATGTCCAAATTATATTCGATTGCTTCTTGGTAATATCTCCATTTTTTACAAATTTTACATATATTTTTGTTATCCAAAGAATAATCAATAATATTATTAACTATTCCATTAGGTAAATTTAATTTATATAATTCCATATTTTCCTCTTTGAAGTGGCAACAGTCATAGCATTTCTTATTGATATAATTATTGATTTCGGTTTCCGCCATTACACACTATATAATAATATATAGCTTTTATTTCTTTAAATACTTTTTTTCCAAGAAATAAAATTAAATATTGAAATATAATAATAACATATAATATTTTACATGTTATTATTATATTATGATTATAATTTCAGTACAGGATAATAATTTAATTGATTTGTCTTACTTCTTTCATACATCATTTTAAAAATAATATTAATATCTCTCAATGTATTTTGAACATTAAAATTTTTACTTTCAATAAATAATTTGATATTTTCTTTAACATCTTGTCCTTTCTCTTGACTATAACACAACATCCTTAATATATCATCAATCATACCATATTTTTTCTTAGGGATTTTAAGAAACTGTTTAACATAATCATAAGGCGGTATTTCATACACACTTAAAAATATTATAATGTCGTCTTCAACATTTCTATTATGTCTTCTTTTCAGATTTAAATGACATCTGATTAATTCTTGATTATCTCTCCATTCCTGACAAATTGTACATTCATCTTCTTCATCCATTGAATAATTAATAATATTATTCAATATTTTATTAGGTAAATTTAATTTATACAATTCCATATTTTCCTTTTTGAAGTGGCAACAGTTGTAGCATTTCTTATTGATATAATTATTGATTTCGGTTTCCACCATTTCTATTATAATATATATAGTTTTTATTTCTTTAAATACTTTTTTACAAGAAATATTAAAATATTATTTAAATTATTATCATTTACAACTACAATTGCATCTAACACAGTAAGGAATAATATTATTCAGTTCGTGTGACAACTCGTTTAATTTACGTTGCGCTGTCAGATTTGTCATTATATTACCGTTTTTAATATCCATAGAAAAACCGCATCCGCAGTAATTACATTGATTTGTGATATTATTTAAAAACCATTGCGCATTTACATAACCTTCTTTAGGTATTGTTCTTTTGGCTTTCCTGTCTTGTTCTTTGTAGTTTAATATTTTTCTTTCAAAATAACTTAAAATGCATGTTTGGTTAAATATATCATCAATATCTTTTGTATATTTATAAAATTTGACTTTGTTTAAATCTCTACACCTTGTAATTGCAGTCCATATCCATTCTGGATAATTCTTTACCAAAAAATGGTTATAATCAAAAATTGTTATGGTATCATCAATGCTACTGCCTTGGGCAGAATGACAAGTCGAGCAATATGCAAATATAAAATTACTTCTTATTTTATCAACTGGCAAAGACTGTAGAATTTCAGTTTTAACATTTTTCAACGTAAATATTCCATCGCTTCCAATATGAACAATTTTATATTTGAAATTTACATTAAAAACTGATGTTTTAGTTGTTGTATATTCTCTACAAATTAAAAATTCTCCTATTTCGTATTCATCTTTTCTATTTTCTAATTTTCTAATTTCATTTGATACATTTTTACAAGTTGTATTTAAAAATGCTATGTTGTTGATTGATTTGCTTATGTCAGTTGTATATTCAAAGTATTTTTCAATAACTTTCATAATAGGTAATTTATTTTCAAAAATATCAATTTTAATATTTCTTAGTTTATCTTTATCTTCCTGTGTGTTAAGTCGCTTACATTCTTTTAACAAAATATTATATTCAAAAATGTTATCTATAATGTTATCAGTATATACTTCATAGTCTCGAGTATTTGTTATCTCTTGAACTGGTTTTAACTGCTTGGTGTCTCCTGTTGCTATTATAATTTTGTTGTGCTTATTCTGTTCTACAAATTGTTTTATTCTCCAATATATATTTAAATTACTAAAATAAACTTCGTCAAATACTATAACATCAAAATCTGTAAAATCAAATGGTTCTAATTTAGCATCTCCATAATTAATACCGAAAAATTTATTTATTGTCATTGCTTCGCCTTCGAATGCCTGTAATAGTTTATTAGTAGGACAAATAAAAATTACATTATAATTTTTATCAACCATTTTTTGACATATATATGATTTTCCTGTGCCCGGTAGTGCTCCACGAATCATAATAGGATTATTTTGTTCAATAATTTCTATAATATTATCTGTGTCATATTCATCTACTATATCAATAGTTTTACTTTCATAAATTGGTATTTGTATTAATTCGTTTTGTGTAATTTCATAATTTACAGTAGGAAATTTAATATATTCGTCGTTTGAAATTCTCCATCCTCCTATTTCATTATTAAAGATTAAAAGCTCTCTTGCTTTTGTTATATCCGATCGCTGTATTGTAAACGCATCTGTTTTGACGCTAAATATATTAATGCCATTTTCATATAATTTACAATAATCTTGATACATTCTAAAATTATGGTATTGAAGCAGTAGCTCCTTTACATATCTAAAGCCATTCCTTAAGCGTGATGTATCCTTTAAATTAAGTATATAATATGACGCCTGTTCTTCTTCTGCTGTATATTGTTCTTCATCTACTGTAATTTGTTCTGTCGTGAAATGTGTTAATTTATGTATTTTACCTCCATACTCTGCCTGATAGTTTAAAGCTTCCTTAAGATTTTTAAACACTGTGCTCTTCTGGTCAGTTGCTCCCCCCTTTTCTAAAAGTCCATAATTAACATTTGCGACCAGTTTTTTTATACATTTATCTTCCTCATTGTCTTCGCTAATGTTTGTGTTCCAAAGTTCATTAACAATATTTTTATGTTCAACTTTGTGAATAAATGAAGGTTGTTTAAAGTATAAAATATTAATTCGTTCTCTTGTCATGTTATCTAGTTGTTTCAAAAATACACCATATAGTAAGCAATATTTTTTATTAAATAGCAATCGTCCTGTCCGTTTTAGTATAGTAGTTTTCTTTTCTATATAATATAACGTTAAGTCGTGTAGGTCATAAATATCAGTTGTATCATCAAACGCTCGCCATATGTCGAATTGATTAAATACTGGTATTTCTGATATAGTAATAAACGCATGAGTAAATGCTTTTGATATATCGATTTCGATTTCATTTTTGATATCTCTGCTATCACACAATAAGCCAGATGGAACAACTGTTCTGGCTTCGTCTAAAATTTGAATATCAATGTCATTATAAAACGATTTATGAGATAAGTTAAACAATGACTTATTAAAATTAAACATTGCTTTATTCATATTGTTATATGTGGTTTCATCACATACTGCAATACATCCATCTGCAGAAGTTTTTATTAAATTTTGTGTTTTTATTATATATATTGTTTTGTTAAATTTTATTTTTATTTCTGATATAATACCAGCTTGAAATCTAATTCTTGGTTCGTAGCCACTATTAACTAAATTGAAAAATAATTCAGATAACTTATTGTCTTCGGATACTAAATATATCTCTTTTGTTTTTTCATCAACTTTGATATTTAGTATATCGTCAATATTTTTTATCATTCTATAAAGCGGTGGTTCCTCTCTTTCATTAATATAGTAGTCGGTTGAAGCTTTGACAGTTGGTATCTTGGTTATTAATTGTTTCTGTTGAATGCTTTTTAAGTCGTGATTCATTGCGTAAATATGACTGTTTTTGACCATTGCATAAAATGGTTTGATGTGCCTACTATTTATATCGGGGTCGCATTTATAAATTAATTTATTGCAACAATCATAAATTCTGCATGGAATTTTAAACTGTTTAAATACAGCCTCCATCTCGTGAATGGTTGCCCCCGTTTCACTAAAGTTATCTCTACCTATAATTTCAATTAC